CATTGAGGAAAAACTCCCCTTGTTAGAAAAGTCCATGTGATCAAATCAAAAGCTGGGGGGGAAAAAAAATAAACTTTGAGGCAAGAGCCTTTCTCAGTTAATGGAATAAGAATTTTACTTGTAAAACACCAAAAAAAACTTCTTTGAATGGCCAAAGGGGAAGAGCATGTCTCAACTTCGCGGTCTGGCTAATCGAGCTGAAAAGGCCGCTTTTATCGATACTGTTTAATATTTGCGGGATTCAAAAAGTCAACACAAATAATCCTCTAATGTCTATTCCTAACCACGATTCCTTGACCTCTGTGAAAAACGTCACGGGGTCCAGTGGTTGCTATGCTAAAGGAGCTAAGTCAGGAAGCATATAATACATTATACAGTATTAATGTATTATACATATAATATATGAATACATTATATTTTATTGGGCTAAAATAACAGTACAGTAGAGTGATATGATAAAGTCATCTTCACCACTAGTGAATATGGTCAAATACTTTTTAGGATAGATGTCGCCAGGCAGGTGATCATTTTAAAATTACACATTTGTGTATTGAGTGTACGCAGTGTTTACAACGTGATTATATTGTTTTATGGTCAGTGTGCAGTCACTATGTGGGAAGGGTTGTCATGTAAAAATAGTTTGTAGTAGAGTTTACATATTGCATGTGTTTTGGGTTGTTTCTTCAGAAATTTAGCAACTACACAAACGATGAACCGTGGAATGTACTAAACTATTTCTACAGATGCGCACCAAAAAAACAGGGACCACGAGTCGACACACCTGGGACTGTCGCAGTTCTTCACACGAGTTGAAAAAACTCTGAATGTTCCATCTCGAGTGATAAAGGCGTGCTGTGGTGGACTGTATATAAACTGTCTATGGGGAACAGCAGGACACTCACTCTCTGTTGAGGATTTCAGGTAAGAACCCCGTCGGATAATATGTCACATAACTTAGATGGATTATATATTTCTGATTTTTAATTTTTCCTCAGTGTGAGTAATGTTTTCACTTCCTCACCGTCCTCCTGCTCTCTGGTTGCTGCAGGTCAGTTGCAGCCATGTTGGTCTTCTCTTGGTCTCTTGTGAGCCTGCTGCTGGTGTCCTCTTGCTGGGCTGAGGTAATATATTCCATATTTAATGCTTTATCAAGTACTGATAACAACCAGGCCTAGATTAAAAAGTACATAAAGACAACCAGCACTGATCTTCGTACCCAAACACACTCAGGCCTCGTTTTCCGTAATCATTTATTCATCCTTTTTTGACTTTTATTTAAATGTATTACCTATTTATTCATATATGCAGTTTTATTTTTTTGCACAAAAAACAAATTGATATGGTTAAAAGATATTATTGGTATTTCACTTTAACATGAAAAGCTAAAGCTTACACACGTATGTATCACCACAATAATTCCTTTTACCTTTTAATTACAAAAAAGAAAAATCCTATAATATTTGGCTTTTCTCTTTTTCCATGTCGCTGTGGGCGATTACAGGGAGGTAAGAATGGAACAAAAGCCCTTCTTATATATATATATATATATATATATATATATAAGAAGGGCTTTTGTATTATATATATATATATATATACACATTTTCAGTGAGTTCACTCAGCTGTTTTGTTGTAAATGGCCATTGTACAGTTGTTGCCGTGTCTCACGTTGTGCAGATGTTGCCACCGCTGAGGACGAAACCTCCAGGGAGCTTTCTGTGAGCGAGCTGCTGGAGAGAGCTAACAGAGACCGCAGTGAGTAGCGCTCTTCTCAACCTTAATGGTTCTGTTACGGAGGCCATGTTGTTAGACAAGTTGACACAACAGAAGGGTACCATTGAATGCAACACCACAACAACAACGTACAACTAAACCACACAACAGCATGTAACATCCTGTAACACGTCACCAATCTGTACGGAATAACAAATGAATAGTGAACTGCTGTGTAAATCCAACGGACCCCCAACACCCACGTTGCTCTCGCAGACCCCGACTTAGACGAGCCCATCCTGATCGGAGGCGACATCGCTATCAAGTCTGAGGCCGAGAGGAACGCCGACCCCTGCACCGCCAGAGGCTGCCTGTGGAACAAGTGGACCGATGGAAAGGTCTACATCCCCTACTTCATCGCCAACCAATACTGTGAGCAGGGATTCTTTCGTTTACATTCATTCTTTTTGACCCTCCCTTCCCTGGGAATATTTGGACCTCATGAGTTGACCTGTGGAGGCTGGAGATGTTTTATTTCTCTGTGAGGACCTAAAAGGGATACTTATGATAACAACCTGAGGCTGCAGTGAAAAGTGCATTGTGTAATTCCATTAACATTTCACAACATAAATCATTCAGGTGAAGTTAAAGCCGTGCAGCAGGAGATTTTTTCAACCTGTCATATTTGTGCCGTCAGCCTCCCGAGAGCAAGCCATCATCATTCGTGGACTGGAGTCCTTCTCCTCGATGTCCTGCATCCGTTTCAGACCCTACCAGAACGGAGACTACGAGTGGCTGAGCATCGAGTCAAGGAACGGGTAAGACTCCGGCCGTGAGCTCACAACTCATCCTCATCCTCCAACAATTGACACCTTCAACCGTGGGCCAGCACTTCCCTTTGCAATCCCACGAGTTCTGAACCCCGCTGTGTGTCTGTGCATCGACAGCTGCTACTCGTCCGTGGGTCGCCAGGGCGGCGCTCAGACTGTGTCTCTGGCCCGCAGCGGATGCCTCTACCACGGTACCGTCCAGCACGAGCTGCTCCACGCCCTGGGCTTCAACCACGAGCAGACCCGCTCCGACAGGGACAACCACATCAGGGTGCAGTGGGAAAACATCATCGAGGGTTAGGCAGCTCATCTACTTCACCACTGGTCATTTTAAGTCTTTGGGGTCGTCTTAGAGGCAGAGACCACTGCATTGTTCAAGGATGAAAAGATCAAAAACACTATTTTGCCCTCAGATCAATGTGAAAATAGCCAATTAGAAGATCTGCCCGGCTCTACATCGAGAGGCTCTGACCCTGCGGACTGTTTACCACATTTTGTCTTGAAAAAGAAAAACAATACTGCAGACTGGAATTAAGATCAGTAGATGATCAAAGCATAGCTGTATTGGTCAGGGGGAGCACTGAATGTTACAATTTTGGCACTGATGTTTGCAGAAACGAAATGTAGATCTTCTCACTTGCCTTTAAAACGGGAAATGTCTGTCATTTTAAATGTACGTTTACTCTCATATCTCCGCAGACATGAAGTACAACTTCAACAAGATTGCCACCCTGAACCAGGGAACTTCTTATGACTACGGCTCGGTCATGCAGTACCACAAGTGAGACCAAATGGCTCCACCTCTGCACTGTTTTGTGTCTTCACACACGTGTGTGTCTGTGTCATTTAGTTCTAACATTTCCTTTTTATATAGCTACTATCACTTTGGAGTTGTAGTGTTTCTTTCTAGGAACACTTAGGGAAGCTACTGGCCTGAATGAGCAGTTGTTCATCAGGGACTCTGGGGAAGTAGCAGAACCAACAGGGATCTGCTCTTAAACAAGACCATGTGACACATTAAAGAACCACATTCTCTCGATGTATCGGGGATTGTTTCCATTGAAACCCAATCCTAAGCCGCCATGTAATGTGGTACCGCTGACTCTCCAGGTACGCCTTCTCCAAGAACAACCAGCCCACCATGGTGCCCATTCCCAACAGCAACGTGCCCTTTGGACAGGCCACCCAGATGAGCCAGAATGACATCGACAGGCTCAACAGGCTCTACCAGTGCTGTAAGTATACGCAAATGTATAAAAACACCAAACCACAGTAAAACTTTATTCCCTGTAGTCCGTTTGAACTAAAAGAGGCCTTTTCAATCTGAAGAAGCCACGCAGTGGGACTGCACTGCATTCTGCAGGGATTTCTAAGCGTTGCTGCCCCACTGCATGCAGCTGGTGGCCTTTTGGAGTCATGGCGGCGGCATCCCAGGTTGGAGTGGAGTCCTCATGGGGACAATGCTGCGTGTCATGCCCCCCTGTCCGTCTCTCACTTTAAAAATCTAATAGAAATGAAGTATATTTCTATATATGTAGTATGCCAGCATTGTCACAGTTTAAGGTTCACATATGGTAAAAGGCTCTACAATAACAGGTTGACCGACTGCATCTGGAAGACATAACAACAGACCAATCCATTGACAGTGTTCATAAAGGAGAACATATATTTTACACATTTTCTAATGGATTTGGGGCATGACAGATTGGTATTTTCTCAATATTGGGGGACACACGACCCCCCCAAAGAATGCGTGGTTACGCTATTGAAGAGGGTCAAAGTTCAATGATATCACAAAGTAGTGAGTGCCAATTGAGTGCATACTGTATTCAACAGTGAACACCTTGTGAGGGAAGCTGCAGCATATACTGAACAAAAATAGAAAACTGTTATCGATGTGACATGAGTGTTGTTTTGAGAGAGACTTAATGTGAATTGACCTTTGTATGACCTGTCTTTTGACCTATGCCTCTTCCTGCTCCATCTTAATGACACACTTTTTCATTCTGCAGAAACTGGAACTTTTCCCCGTCTCCCTCATGACATCAGGAGCACAGTGATGAAACAGATGAGGTGTTTTGCAGACCGCTGCTTCTACTGTTTGATAATTCAATGACAAAAGGCATGGGCACTTTGTAGATTCAGAAGGTGTTAAAAACTTAAAAACACCCTTTCATTTCTATCCTCATATCACATGAAACAATGTCAACAATTGCAATCTTCTGATCCAAAAATAAAGCGACCTTCATTCATTGGCCTTCATTCATTTTCTGGCTATAAAATATAAAGCAGCAGCGAGATGCTGATTAGCATAGCTTAGCTCAAAGAGCTGTTTAACAGCACCTCTAACAACTACCAGTGTATTTTGTTTGTGTTTATCAAGTTAGGAGAAGTGACTCGCCAAAAGAAAGCAAGGTGGATTTCCCAAAGGTTAAATAACTCACACGTATTCACATGTCTAGTGACTCAGTGGTCCTTCATAGTCTCAATCTCTAGTTTCCATTCTTATTCAATACAGCATCAAACATTAAGGTCCGTTTAAGATTAAAAATATAGCCCCCCCAGACCACCACAACACACTTGCTGCCCGATATCGGCAGAAAAAACATTAAAAGGCTGTAATTTAAACCTGCCAAGCTAGACTGCAGACCACCACCTGCAGAATGTTGAATGATCATTTTGCTGACACATTACTTTCACATTAAGTTTATTATCTGTGTTTCATCCTCAGGTCAAAATATGAAATACCATTAGCATTTTTTGTGATTTTTACTTCTTTCTTTCGCAAAAAAGGTTAATCACATCCGTCTTTTCACTCCCAGAGTTCACGTCTCATCTGTAAAACGTCCCGTCGACGTCAGGGGGTTGAAAGCGCGTCCTCCACTTTGTCGGCAGTCAGGTTGAAGTCACAGCGCCTCAGGGCTTCCACTAGCTCCGCCGCGCGGGCCGCTGCCCCCCGACTCTTCCTCCACTCCTTCAGCATCTCCCTGGCCGTCTCCTCCAGGTCCGTGTGCCTCGTGGAGACCGACTCCAGCTTGACGTCGCTCAACCCCAGCCTCCGGCCCAGCCTGCGCCAGGGCTTTCCCAGGTTCCCCGCGATCACATCGGTGGCGCTATCCAGTTTATCTAAAGAGAGGGAAGGCCAGAAAAACAATGTGTGGGAACAAAGCATTATTATACAAAATGTAAATGAGAAACTTGTGATTGGTACGTTATGTGCATCATCTCTATCATTATCATGGTAACAGAAAATACTATTTATGGATGGCTGGCTGGTGAACTATACGTTTAACGCAATATATAGAAAGTTGTTAGATATTAGTTTAGTTTTAAACACTTATACTTATATACACGCATCACTACGTACATTTTTGGTGTTTTAATTATTCAAACATTTTGGTTGTGTTAATGCACAAATATTGACACGCAAACTTGTGTTTAATAATAAAAGCCTGTTGAAATGAATCAGCAGAAGGACGACATCCACAACCTTTTAGACTGTGAAGTGGTATTGTGGCATTTTGCTCTCATTGGAGCCACGTAAAACGTTATATATATATATACATATATATATAAAATCAACTTTCAATGCAAATAAAACAAACACCCTGGTGTGGCAGTCACATTCACTACACTGGTGTGTAAAAGCCTCTAGGAAGTGTGATTCATTGTTGGAAACCCTGGTCTTGATCATTACTAAAAATAAGAGAGAAAAAAAGACTGCAAAATAATGTCATTATTAAATGAATTGGTAAATGTCATGTTTCCCGTAGTGATTAGAAATGGGATTGATTTTTTTCCCCTCACGCCCACCGCCACGGTTCAACCAAGTGAACCCGTCAAGTTGCATTGTGGGAAACGTAGGATGTTTTGGGGGAACCATACTGTGGACTAGTGAAAGTAACCTACACATATAATCACCCCGGTTGTCGTGTGAACGCTGGGAAGTGTTTGTCAAGCCCATTAACATCTGTATGCGCGGCTGGATAACGCAGCGTGTGATCAGAGACCGCGGAGCCGCGCGCGCGCGCCGCGGGCTCGAGCCTACCTCTCTCCGACGGGTCCGGCTGGTCGTCACACGGCGCCGAACCGTTTTCAAAGTTGTCCAATTTGTCCGAGAGGTCGCTTCGGTCAATGTCTCTGAGCAACTTGGACAGAAACTCCGTCTGCTCACTTCCTAGTTGGCGTCTCTCCGTCAGCACCTGAAACAGCAGCGTCCCGCTCGTGATCTTCTCCAGCTCCCTTTTGCCCACCAGGTCTCGCACCAGGAACTTCATTTTACTCAGCTGGTCCTCGGTCAGCTGGTTGGAAATGTCCAGCAAAAGCTTGTTGAACTGGAACGAGCTCATGTCGCCTCAGACGATCGCTCCGCCGAAGAAGCCGAGGCTGTGAGTCCCAACCAGGAAACTCCGGCTTTTACTTTCACTTCCGGTTGGTGACGTTCCTGTACAAGTACAATCTGCACCAAGCTCATCTTAGAAACTGCATAAATATACACTACAAACAAAAACAAAAAACAAATGGCCACACTGTAAATGTCAATATCAAAAGGAATTTTATTGCCAAATGTATCATTTATTTAGATTTAGTTTATTTATTATGTATTTATATTTATATATATATATATATATATATATATATATATATAGACATATATATTTGTTTATATATATACATATATATTTAGACATATATATATATTTAGACATATATATATATATATATATATGCAAACTGGGCCCATTCCCAATCCCCACCTGAACCCTCAGGAATTGAACGGTTGAGTGTGAGAGTCTGTAGCTGTGTCTCATTTCATCAGCTGCATGCTCGTGAGGACACAGTCATAAATTACTTTGGATGTCCCATTACATTGGCTCCTCTGACCACGGCTGAGGACGCAGCCCTCTACGCGCCAGTTTTGAGGACACATCAATGCGGCCCAGCATGTCCCATCATGCAGTGCAGGACGGAGGCAGCGGGGAGGCTGGAGGTCACTTTTAAAAGTACTAGAATTCCCTCAAATATCAGCATATCTTAGTTTATAAAATTGCTTCAGTTACGTGGCGTGGTAACCAATGTTGTATTTTTAAACACACATGACGTGATAACAAACTGCTCTGACATACACCCCCCCAGCCCCAGACGCAGGCTGTCCCCCTCACCTGAATCCACCTGCGTCCTGTCCAGTAATGTTACAAATGTTGAGAATAAAAACGCACTTCCTTGGTTGCTTTGGTCCTTTTGTTTTGTGATTATAAACCAACTATAGATTCTGTTGTAGGGAGCAGGAGAAAGCACCAAGCGGAAGGGGAAAACAATGTGCAGCTACTGTGTATATATATACCTATATATATATTTTATATAAAATGGATTTGCTGTGTCCAGTTGTACAATCACTACACTGGTTTAGTTAACATAACTTATGAATGATAACATTTCAAAATAAGGATACTGTTGTGGAATATTTATATATATATATATATATAATATAACTAGTTCGGGAGAAGCGAATGAATTCACCACTACATTACATAATTCCAAACAGATGAGGATCAGCGCCTCTAAATCTGAGGCCATGGTTCTCAGCAGGAAACCGATGGATTGCCTACTCCAGGTAGGGAATGTGTCCTTACCCCAAGTGAAGGAGTTCAAGTACCTCGGGGTCTTGTTCACGAGTGAGGGGAAGATGGAGTGTGAGTTTGGCCGGAGAATCGGTGCAGCGTGGGCGGTATTGCACTCGCTTTACCGCACCGTTGTGACGAAAAGAGAGCTGTGGTCAATCTTCGTTCCTACCCTCACCTATGGTCATGAAGGATGGGTCATGACCGAAAGAACTAGGTCACGAGTTCTAGCTGCCAAAATGGGTTTCCTCAGGAGAGTGGCTGGCGTCTCCCTTAGAGATAGGGGGAGAAGCTCAGCCATCTGTGAGGAGCTCGGAGTAGAGCCGCTGCTCCTTTGCGTTGAAAAGAGCCAGTTGAGGTGGTTTGGGCATCTGGTGAGGATGCCCCCTGGGCGCCTCCTTAGGCACGGCCAGCTGGGAAGAGGCCCCGGGGAAGACCCAGGACTAGGTGGAGAGATGATATCTCTGCACTGGCCTGGGAACGCCTTGGGATCCCCCAGTCAGAGCTGGTAGATGTGGCCCCGGGAAAGGGAAGTTTGGGGTCCCCTGCTGGAGCTGTTGCCCCCTGCGACCCGACCCCTGAAGATGGATGGATGGATGGATGGATGGAATTGCAAACAAACCAAGTTACCCATTCAGAAAACAAATTATATTTTAATGTAAAAGCACTAACTTGATACGTTTTTATAGTTTCCAAAAATAATCCAGAAATTATAATAATATTAGACGCGATTGTTTAATCAACTTCTTCAAATTATTCGTACATTCACTTTTGAACCAGCTTTCAACATCTTTTCGCTGTTTGTTCCTGAAGTCCTGATATGTTTCCGACTTTTCTTGTCCAATTACAACTTTTAATTTGATAGTCAGAGCGTTTGTGTTGTGCTCTCGCTCTCAACAGTGCAACCTACGGCCACACCGCTTACAGACCCGGCGCGGTTTACGCTTCCACAACAACCCGGTCGGTTGAGGCGGCTTAACCAGCGGAATCAGAGCAACGCACACGGCGGCCGTTAGCCAGCGAGTGTGACCAATTTTAATGTCCAATTAACAAATGCACTCTAAGTTGTACTCTCATTTATTTGGAGTTGGTATACAGAAAAGAAAAAAAACTCAAAATATTAGACAAGGACAGATTGGTTACACGTGCATAGACACTCATGAAATGCGCATCGACATACATTATAGTAGATATCCGGCATGTCACAACTTGCAGTGTTAACTGATGTTGTACATTCAACATGGCAACAAAAGGACGTCTTGCAGCCAGAGACAACTCCATCTATGAGTGAGTATCAACGCTAACCCTACGTGCACACAGAGTATAAGATTTGATCAAAGAAAAGTGACATCCTGGAAAGAAGTAACGGCCTTTTGCGGCTTCCTTCAAAATACAGCTAGTACGTTCTGTATTGATGTATTCTACATGATTAAAATGAAGACACTACAACAGAGTATAGATCACTGGTCCCTTGAGGGCTGATAAAACCTCAACATGTTCAATCACTCAAAAATACATCGTCACAAAATGATAAAAAAAAAAAAAAAGATTCAAAACATTCACAACAAGTGATTATACATCACTGTAATAAAAATAATAAGAATACATTCTGGCAGTCAGAGTTGAGGGCTTAAATCTGGGAGTAAGTAGATATGTACAGTGGAGGGGGGCCGGATTTGACACATCACTGCGTGCTTGTGGCTCCTATCGTTCAGTCTGCAGCACGTGTCCGTTCTTCGAGGTGGGATCCAGTCGCTCCCGTGTGTATCTTTTGCAGTTTAATAAATACGAAATATCATTCAGTCTTTTGTGCTTGAAAAGTTGACAGCAGTCCTGGTTTGACTTGTATCCCTTTGTGTGACGAGTGGAACGCTCAAACCAGCCGGGGAGGACAATATAATACAGGGTGGGAGAGTCGCTCCATAACTGTCCTTGTTCTGCTTTCCAGAGTAATCAAGACGAGGAAAATGAGTCCTTTTAAGAAGCTCCTGATCCCTCAATCCCCTTTGTCCCAAGATGCAGTTCTCTAATGGCACACGCTGCATGCATCGCTACACTTTTAATATTAAGTTCTATTATTAGTGCACAACTTCAAAGCTTAAAACTCTAATAAATACAGCTGAGCATCTCAACGATATGCAAAGGTGTGAATGGCTTGTTTTTAAATGTGTCGGATGAAAAATCCGTCAACATGGACGGGGATTAGTAAACTAATCTGCTTTGCAGATTGTCCAAAACAGACAAATAGGACAAGTGAGTTACAGAATATTAAATGCTGGACCCTCCTCTTGTTTACAGAGTTTGATTATAATTATACATGCATTGACAGATTTTGCATCCACCAGATGGCAGCAGACGCAAGACGAAAACAACACTGATACTTCATCACTTTTGAAAGTGTAACTTTGGTATTTGAACTTATTGTCCCAAGCATTTGTGTCAACATGACCAACCTTTGAAATGGGTCCGGTATTGAGGGAGAACGCTGCAGCAGCTTGGGGGAAACTCCTCACCAGCAATGTACGACTTGTCCCCAAGTGCTCGCTCAGGTTGTAATTATCAGATTACATGATGGACAGAACTTTTACTTCATCTGGTATGTTTGTTATTGCTTCACACCAAGGAGAAGTCCCGTTATGAAATCTCACTAGAGTAAAAACACAAGTTTGAGAAGTGATTTTCAATGCTGCAGCTGATTGTTTTGCTGTTTACATTGGGATTGCAGTAAGGGACATAAAGCGAAATAATAAAAAACCTAAAAGAAAAGGTTTCATTTCGCCAAAGAGTTCTTGCTCTTTGATGGTTGTCAGAATAATTATTTGCAATTGGGGATTTTGTGCAGTGAGAATATTGTGTTTTTTCAGTTTTTTTTCACTCCCCTGAAGAGGCAAAAAAGAAAGACATAGATTACTAAAGACTTGAGTTGAGATGTAGAATGGCGTCACTTTGTTTGTGCTGTAAATCGCGCCAATCAGAGTTTTATTAATTCCAGTTCATTGGAAGGAATAATAATGTGACTTGTGCTTCCAGGAGAAAATGCCACCGAGCACAGACCCACAACCCGAACAAACGTAACAACCAGCAGAGTGGAGTCGAAATAAAAAGTCCGCTGAACACAGCAGGTCTTACAGATCCCAACAGGCCGACGACGCAGCACATTCAAAAAAGTACATCATTCAAATTCCTGCATTTGTATATAATTGTGCAAAAGTAAAAAGATTTCTGCGCTCAAAGTTTCTGAGCTCAACAGCACGCGTCAGGTGGAAACTCTTCTCAGAGGTACCATCTGGACGGAGGCGATGGCATCGCAAAGGACCCCCCCCCCTCCCCCGAGTCAAGTGAAGCTAATGGCTTGTTCCCCTTAAATACACTATATCCAATAAATAACGTGTAGTGATCATCATGTTATGACGGCCCGGCTTTGAGGAGCCGATTGAACCGCTTAAACTCTGTAAACGGGCGACCCGTTGGCTTCCCGCTCGTGGTGCTCGTTCTCCCAGACGACGTCCTGCGCGGCGGGCCGCGAGCGCGCCCGCGGCGAGCTCCGATTGGCCGACGAGTGGGAGGCGAAGTTGTCGAGGTTGTGGTTGTCGCGCGCAGCCAGCCTTTTGCCCTGCTCCTCCTTCATGAAGAGTTCCACCATGAGGATCTTCTCCTTGTGGATCTGCAGGCTGATGTCCTTGGGGATGTCCGGGATCAGCCAGTCCACGAAGTCGCTCATCAGCATCACCACGTTCTGCACGGGACGGAGAGCCGTTCAAGCACCGCCGAGTGCAGAATCAACACAGCCGGCTAATCCAAAAGCTACCGGTCAAACCGGTGTCCAGTCCTGAGTCTACTGAAGCAGTTGTTTTGAGTTTTATAAAGGTTTCATTTGTAACAGAACGGTGTGCTGTTCGTCTCAGAGACTAATGGGAGTGATTATTGATTTACAACATTTTTTTTCCAAACACAAAAGCTTTACGCAATCATGGACGGGAAAAACAGGAGCCCACAGAACACGTGAGTTGTTTGCAGGTTTGTTTGCTTTGCCCACACAAAATATGAATGGCCGAGGTGACGTGTGCGGAGAGCGTGTCGAGGCGTGCAGCATGTGTGCTCTGGTATTGATGCGCGTGTGTGTGTGTGGTTTGAAACCTGAAAGACAACAACGAAGGCGAGGCGGGCGGCGAGGACGGCCCAGAACTCCTTGGACAGTTCGTACGGTGTGCTGGACGAGGGGGGCTCCCTGTAGTCCTTATACCTGCACACAGGAAGACACGGTTGATCGACAATATTACAAAAGGAGAAATAGACACGATAAGCAATTGCTTGGGAGATTATGGCCTGAGTGTCATGGCTTTTAGGATTCGGCCGGCTTGGCTTGTGGTGAGTTTACAGATGACTGACAGTTCTGTCAGTGCCAAGCGTGTGGGTGGCCCAACATGACAACACAAAAGATCCCTTCCAGAGTGTTTTGTTTGTACTGTCGAAATGTGGCGCTGCAACATGGTGGACCCCTTGAAGAGGACCTGCTCTCTATCTCAATATAGACAGCTGCACAGGAAAGAAGACTCTCCTTCACACCGTATTCCAATTACTGCCCATTGACGCCCTACAAATGCTACACAAGGGCCTTTTATATAATTTGTTAGAACGACAATCAGTGGCCACGTTAAGTCTCTTTTTTATTGGTAACTTATTTAGTAAAGGTCGGGTTCCAAATCTAAATAGTATAAAGGTTGAAAACCTTAAAGACAAAACAGTAAGCCAGAGACGGCACTTACAAGGACACTTTAGAGGATCAATGGGTAATAAAATTACTTTCAGCTTACATCCAGGACGTGGTCAAAACCCTCCATCCCAACCCGCACTCTCCGCTCTGCATCTGATAAACTGCTCGTCCCTCCCTCACTGAGAGCAAAACACTCGACTAGATCTCTTTAATGTCCTTGCTCATAAATGGTTGAACGAGCTCTCTGAAGACACCAGGACCGCAGAGAGCCTTCACATCTTCCACCGCAAACTAAAGACACACCTCTTCAGACTCTTCCTCGACTAAAAGACTAACAAATTGTAGCACTTAAATTGAACTTATAGCGCCACTCATCTATAGCAAATTGTAAATTGGCTTATTTGAGGAAATTGCACTTTCTTGTTTCTTGCTCTTCTGAGTTTGTATCCTGTGGTTGAATGCACTTATTGTAAGTTGCTTTAGATAAAAGCGTCAGCTAAATGACATGTAATGTAATGTAATGACTGAGAGGAATAGAATATGGTTGGGAAAGGAGAGCACTCGTAAGTGTTCAATAATATAATCGTAATGTTATAGGTGCAATAAACACCACAGCAATTTTTGACATTCTCTGTGGGAGAAGAAAAATGTTAAGTTATTGTTAACGTTTGTCTCTCAGGTGAACCCCGGTACCGGTAAAGCCCCTCGCTGTGTGCGCTGGGCACGTTTTCAACAGGTAAAGCACAGAATATGAGCTTATGTCTCTTTGTTGTTGAATTAAATATGGTTGAGATTCAATCGCAAGTTTGCCAAACATGACAAACGTACCCTATAATTAGGGAGAAAGCCTTTGAGCTTGTTTGAGCTTTCAGGAATTTGTTGGTGACATTGAAGAGGCCTTAGCAGAGTGGGGCTAAGGGGAATGATACAAACCGTTGTACTGTGAGCAATGAGCCATTCTCTTCCCTTTGGCTGTATATGCTGTTTAGCATAGATTTGATTTATTTTCTTGGAGTGTGAAGTTTTTATTATGAAACTTTCTCTTCATTTGAGTCTTTTGCATAATGAAATAAGTTCTGCATGTATTAAATGGTCGTTTTGGAGTTGAACTGTACCTGCAGATTTCCACCTTGTAGCCCAGGTGCATCGGCTGGATGGGGTCTGTGCCCGGCTGGAAGTCGCTGACGTTGAAGTAAGACAGAGTGTGGTTGACGAAGCCGTGCATGGTGCCGTCCACGCTGTACATGTACTGGTAGACCAGCCGAGGGATGAAGTCCGAGGTGAAGGAGATGACAAAGGCCTGGGGGGGACGCAGAGCTTACTTAAGCCTCGAGAAGCTTACCGTGTTCATGACGTCCAAACCGCGGGTTTGAAGGTAGCGTACGGACACGAGACTTACGTTGACGATGACCGCCACCTTGCTGAGGCCTCTCAGGAGGTTGTACCAGATGCCTGCAGAGAGACGGAGAGAAACGGTCTTCAGCGATCACCAGCAGATGGCACAAGCACAGAGGTGGAAAGACTCCGCTGTGTGTTGTGTGGTAGGAAAGTTTCTATTACGTTTAGGTTGGATTAACTGAGCTGCTTTACGATATTACTGTTGACAAGGACCATGTGTTCCTGATACTTTAGCAGCCAATGTATTGAGCCGAGCAGCTGATACTTTTTAACCGCTGTGCACAGTACATGTACTCAACCTTAGATCTTCCAATCCTCCAAACTATGACAAAATGACTTCCTTTCAAATGTTTTTTGCAACGGTTTCAGTTTTAATGGGTCTTCATTTGTCCCTTTTATCTCTTATTTCGTACTGCTCCAATCAATTTAGGTGTCTCTATTGTTGTTTGTGTGCTCTAAACATGAGTGAATAAGATTTGAAGAGGACGTACATGCTCATTTCCAGGTTCACACTTTTCTTTTGTTTGAATATTTGTGTGTTAGCACGCCCCATTTTAGCGCGTTTCAAACGAAGTGCGTTGCTAGGGAACAGCTTGGGTCCATGTTTACTTCCTGCCAGCTAATGTCAATCACATTCACTGCAACCAAGAGATGCAGAACTATTTACCCCTTCACTGCAACTAGAAGAGAATTTAGATATGAAGAAGGTTTAAAACTGTGAAAATGTATAATATTGTGACATAATGGTACAGAAATGCTGCTGGCTTGTTTAAAGGCACAGTTTCGGGGAATACAGGTGCCGTTTAAAAACGTTCACAGTGTTGATATAGTATTGAAACAACGTTTTACGACGTCATTATTTTATCCTCTCCACCTAAAACCTTTTAAGGCCTGGCCTGTTTTCTGGCATCTGCTCCAAAAATTGCATGCACATCCTAAAACGCTGTAACTACATGGTCTATTTGGAAAATATTTGGTGTCATGATAAAAGTATCATATATATATACATCTCATTGGTTAACTCTAAATGAAGATGGCATATGACAAAATTGAAAAATGTCAAATTCGCCTAAGAAAAAATACCCTTACCGGGTATGAATCCCTTTAAAACACGCAGATAAACACTGTTACTTTGATAAAGTGAAGCAGAACCAAGTTCGAGAGGTTTTAGTACAATTCTCTTAAGAGTTAAGGGAGAGGAACGTGTGGAGCACAGCACGACGCCTAATGTCTGTTGTGGTGTGCAACATTATCATATTACTTTTTGATGAGTGCCTTTTTTATTCTATGTGTCGATTTATCGGGAACCGTGGGGCTTCACATTGAAACCCATCTGAGTGTAGTTTCATTTCTAATGCTGGGAGCCCACACACAGTGAGCGAAGTTTGCTCTGCATCTGCTCTCCTTGTCCGGCTCAGCGCTTGGATTTCTTCACCTTTTCGACGGCGGTGTATCTGAAAACGTCCAATGGAATAGACATTTCATTTCAGTCGTGGCTGACGGACACCCACCGATGTCTTTGGCTTTGGCTGCGATCGGCCTGCGCAGCTCCATGACAAACTTCTTGGCGTCCAGGCGAATCTCGATGATGTTATTGAGAAGAGCGAAGAGTGGCGCCAGAGGGAAGGACGCAACGAAGAGAGTCACCATCCCGAACTGGATGACTGGAGACACAGACGAGAAGAATAAATCAATAAACATCAATAAAATAGAGAGAGGGATTTTAACTTTCCTGTTTTAATGAGCAACGCCAGTCGCGGCCTGGTGAGATCATGTTTTTGGCCGTTGGACTGTCGGTCTGTCCAATCGTCATCTCACATGATGCTGGAACCACCACATTCATTTGTGCTTATTACTGAATGTTGCAATGATGATGGTTGTCAGTTCTTGAGGAGCAGCGTCTCGCCATGTGCTAAACAACAAAGCTAATGCAATTAAACTCACGGGACGACCTACAATCTGCTATAAAGAAGCATAAAAAAAAAGTCAAGATGAAGCATTAAACCGTCGGTTTCAACTGCACCTAGCTGGTGCAGACTGCACATCCTGGAATAAAATCTGCTGATTGAGAACAGTCAATTGTGGTTTGCATTTATTCAATCAAACATCACAGTGTTTTTTGCAGACACACCTGGTGGCTGCCACTGTCTATGGGTTCTTTCATCATAACCGACTCGTTGGTCATTACACTTCCATTACTAATGTCAAAACATCGTGGAGTGCACTGGCGAAATAACACAAATATCAGGTCAACCAAAAACTCATTAGTTTAAAAGATGAATTAAATCAATATGCTTGTACACTACATATCACACAGGCACCACATAGTTTGTTACACGTGACTGACCTCTGTGACATTTACTACCATCTATCAGCACTGAGCCGTTTGACAAGAAATCGGTTGCGTGCTGTGGCTCTGTTGGGAGGAGAGGTAGGAAGCAGCGTGGGGCAATTGTGAGACGCAGCAGTTGGATTTACACTGAACGATTTTATGCTCCGCTGGTAGCACTTGCTTTTACACAATAAACATGAAACAGAAAGAACAGAGTGCCGAGCTTGAAGTAGCTTTAATCACCTCTCTCAGTTGTATCGTCATGAGCTTCTACCAGGCTCTCTATCATCTCCTTCCCTCAAGGGATGAAATGCTCAACAATATAGATCCAAAAAGGGCAATTACACATCCCCAACAGCCACGAGACGCCACCGGCCAAATTAAAAGCTGTAATCTGCTCAACTTCTATTAACGCACGCGTCCACAGGCTCGTACAGAAGTCTCCACTGCACATGAAGCTTGACCTATCCAAGGTTAGCACGTCAGTCATTGATTAATAGACTGTGTGCTGGGAAATTAGATTAGACTTTTTCATTAAATCCGGGGTTAACCACAGTGTACTTCAACATGGACAGATGAAGCAGGAGCAAAGACACAGGAGACCCTGAGTGCGTTTCATGTGACTTGGTGCATAGACGGTGATTATTAAAGCGGTTTTCTGTAAGTTTTCGCGGCCAAGGCTGTTCAAAAAGGCTGATATTCACTCAGGCTCTACTCTGAGGAAGGGTAGAAGACATACATCACTTCGAAGAAGACGAGGTTGATTTGCTGTGAGCAAAACATCAGAGCAGCAATAAGAGGACAACACTACAAACCTCGCCTAAAGCCAGTCGGTCATACAAGGGTTAAGGTGTGACAGGTTCTGGCATTCTCCTAAATTTCCATCTCCAATTAAACCCTTTACTGGATTCTACATGAAATCAATTGAATTTAATTGGCTTCTCGGTAGAACGCCCACGGTCGGTTGTGGATGAAACCAATGACAGATCTCACTCCGAGGGTTTGAGATGAAACCCTTGGAATAAAAAAGGGTTTCATCTAGAACTCCGAGTGGGTTCTGTATGAAACTCTTTTTAATATTAAAGGGTTCTTGGTACAAATGAGAGGTGGACAGGGTACCTATTAGTAATCTTAGAAGGTTCTGAATAGACGGTCTCTGTAGAACCTCTCACAGGTAGGAATCTTGATAAAGGTTCTACCAGGAACAAAAGCCAAAGAACACTATATGGTTCTTTATGGTTCCCACATGGTTTAGCACCTTTGTCTTTTCAACTGTACAGGCGAAAATCCAAAATGAAATTAAAAACCGTGACTTGTATTTGTGAGGGTCTTGACTCACTCATCTCCATGTACTCGGGGCTGAGGCCAGTGAAGGGACCCAGCATGTGGTCTTTCTCGTGGCGCTGCAGCGTTTTGTTCACCTCTTCCTCCAAGTCAGACTTCCTCCTCCGGAGCAGTTTTTTTAGCTTCCTGTGTGGAAGCAAATCATATAAATCCCATTTAAACTCAGAGGTGTTTCTGTCGTTCAGCCCAAGTTGATGGCAATGTGGTGGACAAAATAATAGAAACACCCCTCCCTTAAACAAAATAGTGAAATTAATTTGTACAACCTTTTTTATGAAATCAATTTGTGGGACTTCAGGGGGATATGTTTGATATTCTTCTTAGCGGAACATGCCGACTGAGGGAGGTGGCAGCAAAGAGTGGAAACCAAAGCAAAGGCAGAGAAAATGTCTGCAGCAGGGGGTTGTTCCAGTTCCCAGGTAAGTGTGTCTGAATAGCAGACGGGCGTTCCAATGAATCATCGGCGGCGCATGTATAAATGAGTAGGTGTCCATAATTCGATCTGTGACTCGCTGAACCCACGTACTGTTGTGTGTCAGCGTCATGGGGGTGGGGGGGGGGGGGGTGTACGTCGGAGCATGTTGCGTGTGCGCTCTTCACTCACGGTATGCCGATCTCAAACAGGTTGTTCTGGATGAGCTGCTTGCCCAGCATGGTGATGCACAACTGGATGCACAGCTCCATGAGGCAGCCCGCGTGGGCGCACTGCAGGGAAAGGACGTGAACATCTGTCAGAGAGTGAAGTCGAACATGAGGCAGTCGACTGCGGAGGGAGGGAGGGAGTTCTGAGAGTTGACAGTGCGTAAAGTAAGAAAGCAAGACAAAATGGATCAAAATTGCTGCTAGAACACCTTCTTTTCAGACCACATGATGTTGATCATCACATTTCATCAAGTTTCATAAATGCATCTGCGACGGTTCTGATGATATTGCGGTGAAACAATTCACAGAGAGACGTATGAAGACTAAAGTACTCGAGTCTGCCTCAGTGGTACAGTAGTTACTCCACATTCTGACAACATGACACGCATACTCACAAGGTGAAAACAATACCGGCTCTGCCTGGTTATCTGTTAAAACTCATCCGACATTCAGTCAGGGAGCGGCTTCATGGGTCTCGGGCGGATCAGGAAGCTATCTGATCGCTTAAAAGCTAAGTGTAAATGCATCCAAGAAGCATTCAAGGCAGATTGAAATTTGATTGTCCGAGCCGCCTCTGGAGGAAGCCATCTACTCGCCGTCAAATGTTCTTAATACACCAACGGCCAGAGCTCCACTGAAACCGACCTTTCTCCCTCTATCTTATTAAAGTCATTATTTCTACCAATACATCTGATCAGCTCAACCCTGAATGATCTGCGTGGGTGAGGTTAGGGTTGTACTGAGTACGTATTAAAGCTTGATCTATGTTCTTACTCTGAGCCAAAGAGCTCTGGGGGACATGATCCTTCATTGCCAAGAACACAAAATGTTGTTTATTTTCATTCAATTCCACAAGCACAGTCTGCCACGAATACGCACCAGAGCACAAGTGCGGATTGCTCCCCTGCTGAAACCAGTGCCCTACTAATGCACGATTTCCTCCTAGTGGAGCGACATCTAAAGTGTATAATAAAGTCAATGCCTTCAACAGGAACCAAAAAAAAGACACAAAATAAGTGTGTGTTCAGTGTTAATTACCTCTTCCATTCTGTACGAGCCGACCACGTACAGGTAGCTTCCGGGCCGCCCAACAAGCCTGTGAAACAAACACGACCATTACATGTTACACTTGAGAGGAAAGCCGCTGGCATACGGCAGTGGTTTTGGTCAAAAGTGTAGCAGACAATTGTTCAACACAGAAATTCACAAATAAACAAGAGCAGTGAGAAGTCCTGGTATTACCTGCCCCTGAAGAAGGCCAGATAGACGATGGGCGTGAATGCATTGACAAACTTCAGCACAAAGGTTTTGAAGATGAGGCGCTCTTCGTAGTTCTTGTCCGTCTTTGGAACCTCTGAAAAGGAGACAACATTTGCCTTCAACAGCTCAGTGCATTCAGGGGGCTTTAGGTGTTATTATAAAACCCCGTCGGCACTCTCGCTAAACCACGTCATTGGCGGTGTTTACTTTGCAAGATGTCTGGTTGTAATGTCCTCCATTAATTCTATTATTTTTGCCACAACAAATTGTAAAACAATAAGCTTCTCATTTTCCCTCATTAGAAAAACTTCTTTAAATATATAAATCATTTTAATTTCTAGCTTCAAACATTGTCGCTGAGAGGACTTTTCAGTTTGCGTTCAATACCTACTGTGTGTCTACGTCAAAATCCTGCTCATACAGACCGCGATCTGCACCGCGGAGCTTTGAGCTTTAAGCTTGTGGTACTCAGGAACAAACGCGTGGATCAATCGTGCCTTTCAGGGGTCAACAATGGAAATGGGACTGACCCAGTGTGGTGAGCCAGCGGGCGATGGCCCCGTAGATTTCATCCATGATGATGATGATGATGAGGTTGATGATGGCGGCGGTGGTCTTGACAGTGGCCCGGATGTTGGACCGCGCTACAGTAGAGGTGCTCATGTGCAGTGCCGCCTTGATGCTGATCCTGTACAGGATGACCCCGAAGACTATTGCAAACGTCACGAGGATCTAAAAGTGTAAAGTAAGTAAGTAAAATTTATTTGTACAGTGCTTTAAAATGTGAATAGACATTAAAACAGCCAATATAAAATACAAATTATCAAAAGAGTAAAACGCGTAGGCTACCCAAACGCCAGCCTGAACAAATGAGTCTTCACTTAAAACAGTCCACATTCTCAGCAAACCTAATGCTGGTTGGTGGAGTCTGGGTGCCATAGCTTCAAAGGCTCTGTCCCCACATGTCTTCAGACGCGTGCGTGGCGTGGATAACAGATTTTGATTGACAGACCTGAGAGACCGGGATGGGGTATGTAAGGGAATTATGTTGGCAAGATAGTCAGGGGCCTGACCATGTGGAGGAGGAGAAGATCGCCAACGTGACAATGTGTGGACGCCAGGAAGATGCCGCTTAGCTGTCGGCCCCAGAAAACCCAGGCTGGGTCAGTTATGGACCCTTTTGTTACACTGTGTGGGCTTTGGGTTGGAAAATGCTCTCACATCATTTCAAAGCACAAATCCTTAAAGCTACGTCAAAGTTTCTCCTTTGATAACTGAAAGAAAACCTGAGAACTAGAGCCCAACTGTGCACTAAAGTGTACTGCTTCACAAAAGAAAGGCGAGGAGACGCGACGCCGCGGAGACTCACCATGAAGCCCATCATCACCACGGTAGTCAGGTAAGCTGGCATTCGGTCCGTACAGGTCAGCTTCACCTTCTCGCCCTGAACAGACACACACAAACACACAACTTTGTCAAGAACATGAACACATGAAGAATATCTCAAACGCAAACCGCACTGTCAGTTGTTTAGTCGTGTGTCACGTGTCTTTGTCAGCAGCCGCTCCTAATGCCGTAGGACACACACACAAACACACACGGCGGTAGTGATGCACAGTTAAATGCACCTTGAGCCATCATGTCACATCCAAGCATCCTGGGAACTGGGTCAGAAAGCTGAAAGGCGTGTGTCTGTGTGTGTGTGTGTGTGCTTGCTGAGATGTAAGATGTGACCTTGTCACTAGACAGAAGTCAAAAGGATGATAATCCATTTAGACATGCTCCCGTTAAATGTGTCAGTTGTGGTTATTTGTGTTCAACGTACAAAGATGTTTCATCTACGTGTTGTATACGTTCAAATTTTCAATTTTTCTATCGTAAGGATTCCGATTTTCATTGTTAGTCTGGCAATAATTTAATTTGTCATTAATCTAAATAAACGATATCTTATGCATGCAACTACAACTGTTCTCTCGCCTTAAGTTACCAGAATGCAGCAGCTTGACTGGTCATTAACATTCTTAAATTCTCCCACACTCCTCGACTCCTCCGCTCTCTTCACTGGCTACCAGTCGCCGCCCGCGTCCACTTCAAAACATTAGTGCTCACGTACTGTGCTGTGAATGGATCGGGTCCAGTCTGCCACCAGGACATGGTCAAACCCTACATCCCGACCCCCAGGCTGCTCTTGTAAATCTCTTAAGCCTCTCCAGTTGATGCAGAATGCTGCAGCACGTGTATTAACAAGGGATCATATCACTCCTGTATTAACTTCTCTGCACTGGCTCCCTGTTAAATCAAGAATAGAATTTAAGGTACTTCTCCTCCCCTACAAGGCACTTGTTGGTGAGGCACCGTCGTATCTTAAAGAGCTTGTAACACCTTATTGCCCTACAAGACAGCTGCGCTCCATAGATGCTGGGTTACTTGTTGTTCCTATGGTTTTAAAAAGTAGGTAGTATTTAACATAACGCTTAAAACTTTCCTCGTTGATACCGGCGTTAAAGTGTGATCACACTTGCATTCTCTCTGCTGACCATTAGGGGGCGATTCCACTGGTCGTGGTCGCTAATTGTACAGAGAAGTCTATGAGGAAAGGAAGCTACTTCTCACTGCCCTGATCAGCGGATCTCTAAAAGATAAGCACTGTTGTTTTATTCCCATTTCTCTGACTGTGGAGTAACGCTGTCATCGCTTTTACCTTCGGAGTGGAATTGTCCTGTCTCATTGTCTTTTTCATAACCCGGAACTCGTACTCCGCTCGGTTGTGATCCTGGAAATAAAAATATCAGTTTGGATGTTACAATTACAATTAGGCAATACCCGATATGTTATAAAGCAGTGCGTGTACAAGACAACGAAATGTTAAGTGTTATTCCAGAATCAGAAGCCTGTTTGCGTGAAGGTTTTGCCAAACGGCGTGTTTAAGTTTGAGTAAAGCATCATGTGCAAGAAAAGGTAAAAAAAAATGCATCAACCCAGTTTGCATGAAGCCAAGAGGAATGAGGGGGAAAATATCACTAAAAGATAAGAAGTTCAGGAGTTAGATGGTCACTTTTAGCCCGATGTTCCACAAGTCAAGCTGACGTGTAGAAAGACGGATAAAGTGAAGACGGAGACAAAAAGACCCAAACAAAAAAACTAAGACTCCAGGATGTGGGCTATTCAATGATTGCTCTCATTTCATATTCAAACGCAATAATAATATTTCTGTGCTTACTGGTACTGGCTGCTTTGCCTCAATGTAATGAGCTGTAAACACAACATGGACATTTTATCACCTTGAGTTGACACAAGAGGAGATTGAAGTCCATATGCAACGGCCCTAAACCTGCATTCTCCTTAATGGCCATCAGGGGGCGCTTCTTCACGTTGCAAAGTCAGATTGTATGGAAGTCTATGAGGAAACGACTTGTCATTTGATTTTATTACCTCATAAACCTTCTAAATATGAGGCTTTTGTATACAAAGTCATTTTAGTTCAGATTGTAAACTCCAAAAGGCTACTCATTTAACACGTGATTCAACCTCTTATAAAGGCACAATTTAGAACCAGCGCTCTTGCAGCATTGATCTTTTGGTCTCGTTAGAGGAAAAACATTGAGGCATATGAGAAATTTGTTTGACAAATCACTGTCTTTCCGGCTAATATGTCCACGTGGGCCCAATACAAAGTCAACAATATCGGAAACGTCAACTCTCCAGGAGCAAAACTCATCATACCGGCTATATCCATTATAAAAAAGAATGTGAATGTTAAAATGTAGTGTCCACATGTTCTAGTATGTTATTCACTTTGGCTCAATAAACTGTCAACTGCGCTGCCATCAACGCAGTGTTGAGCGGCCACAGGGAAGACCAGCGTTAGAACAAACCTCAGAGACCAAGAAAGAATCTAAAGAAAGGGGGGAAAAAGGCGACGTGAGACGGCAGCAAAGGGATTAAAGGGGCCGTCAGGTAGAAAGACCCTAGGCAGCTGGACGTGGAACAAAAGGTCAGTGTTATCGACCGTAGAACCAACCTCAAACTGCCAGGCAAAAAAAGGAGAGATGGTGAATTAAAGCAAATATAAAACAAGTCGGATCCAAACCTTATGCTCCTCCTGTGAAACACACCACAGAGAGAGAACACACAACACAAAGAAGTCAGTCGGGGGCTGTCTCTGAAGGTTAAAACACTCCATCGCTGGCAGGCAAAACAGAACACAATGGAGGTGGGGGATTGTTCTCTTGCATCGTGATTTAAAGAAGCCGGCCCGAGGCACTGATGTCTGAGTGGGACCGTGTTTGCTGAGGGCTGACTCACTGCAGAGCGCAGACGAGGTGCGTTCCCACGCTGACCTCCATGTCGCCCTCAATGCTCTGGAACTTTTCGGGTAAGTGCATTGAGGAGCGTCTGCACTCTCTCACGGCGTTAATGAACGCCATGGTAGCGATGTGGGCGTTGAAGAGACTATTCGGTTTGCCAAACGCCGTGCAGAATGTGCTGCGGCGTTGGTCCCGATTCAGCTCGGTCCCACCTGGATGCCAACCTTTTCAATGTGTGAATGGCGTCACTCACCTCTTCCTCCTCTCCGAAGCCCGTCAGGTCCCAGATGTAGTTGAGTCGCATCTGGCGCCGCTTCCAGTGCTCCATGAAAAGAACGGCTGCGGAAGCGAGCAGACACAGCAAACTGAACGCGTTACCCCGCGTGACCATGAATATAGAATCTTTCAAATTGTCAGTCTTTCTGCACTCGTGGTGCCAGTTATGTACAAATATGGTGAACAGGTGTGAATTCATGAAGCTCCTTTACAGCGCTTCACAGCTAATGGATTCAAAGCATACGAGTGAGCCGGGGGGTGGGGGCAATTTATGAGAAAACAACGGCTTAATCTTAAAGTGCCAAATAAACAAAGGTTTGAATAAACGTTCTTCACACCCTTAGTACAGATGTGCAACATTGCAACACTGCAGCCATTGCCTCTAATCTTACCATACGCCTTTAATTGTATTGTTTTGCAATGACAACAATCCCACATTGTTTGAGCAGTGCATGATTCAATTTCCCAATACTTTGCTACTGTAGTCACTGGCTTCCAGCTCGGAAATCTAATTGGAATGGATATGGAAATCTAATTTCTCTTTATATCCATGAAAAAAAGCTCAAAGGCTTTAAATCAAGCCCTCTGTTAGTGGAGGGCTTGATTTCACTGTCTGAAACTCACTGTCTGTTTGGGTCTTTTTCATTGGATGATTTGAAAAACAAGGCAACAGTCTGCAGCATGCAGGGATTTTTGTTTTGTACTCGTGCTGCTACCGTTGTGATTTCTAAAAACTACATCGAGCTTGATGGAATTGTCCATCGTTGGGTCCGCGGCATGTTAGTCCAGATGGCCGGCATGCTGGGACTCGGTCAGACACCGGCTTCAACCAAACACACAACACCTCCCCTGGTCTGCAGCCCTGCTGCTGCTAACAGATGGCAGCGTGGCAAGACGCAAAGAAGAGGAGCGGCTCTGTACGTACCCAGCAATTACCTTTGGGCTTCTTATTCTACATTCCACGTGAGCCCTAAGCTGCAGTTTTGTTCCGCCAAAAGCTGTGTTTAAAGGATCTTGTGGGCGTAATTTGACTCTGGATGCTGTTTGTATCATTGGATGATAATCCGGCCTCACACCAGGGGGTCTAAAGGAAGAGTCTGGTGCCGAGCACATGACACGGCAATACAAATTCTCCTAAACGGATCTACGCCATTTTCTGTCCCAACCCCCTATTCCGTTGATCCAGCAACCATCCTACGGAATACTGGCAGAACCTCTCTTCAGATCTCACCCCAGAGGGCCATGAAGATGGAGAAGAAGACGGTGGCCGGGTTGTCGAACAGGTGGCTGGCTCGCGCTGTGCCACACGCCGTCACCAGCTTCCAGTAGCTGCAGGCGCGGTCGCAGAGCGGACACATGGTGATGTTGTTCCTGGGGTCACAGATCTCCATACTGACGAGACAGGGACAGACGAAAAATAGGAATGATTGAAAGGGTCAGAGGGTCAGAAACAGAGCCTCTGTGTATGTGTGTATTTGCTTTGCATACCTCAACATTAATCCAACCCTAATTCCCAGGTATTGTGTAATGCAAACTCAAGGGGTTGTCATGTCTACCACAGTCCCGTGGTAAAAAACACACCGAAGCCTTCAATATTCCCACATTTAGGTGTTTGCTTAATTGGACTTCTTTGCGACACTTAAAATAATTCTATTAAATTTACAAATCAAACTACTAATGCTTCATTTATTTTGACATAACACGTTCCACCTGTAGAGTATTCAACATCTGTGTAACAATCCAATGAATGTCTTAGAAGGAGTTCGTTTTTAGGCTGAGTAGAATTCTTACACACACACACACACACACACACACACACACACACACACACACACACACACACACACACACACACACACACACACACACACACACACACACACACACACAACTGTAAAGGGGTGTGTGTGTGTGTGTATCTCCATCTGGATTCATGGTTTTTTGTTAATACAAAATGTACAGCCAAACGTTTTTTTTTTTCACTTCTAACAGTATTTACTGATTTATGGAATAGCGCAGATATCCAATAATTCCCTCCCTGAAACCTGTTGAATCAAGAATACTGAACCTGGCTTGAACCAATGTTGAGACTTCTGTTCGGGAAAAGTGTGCAGATTAGCGCATGTTTAACAAAAGAATGGTTCATTTGCATGGTTAAACATATTTCATAAGAAACGTTTATTATAGAATTGGAGTAGTGCAACATGAATTTTGGTTAATAAGTCAATATGGTTCTAAACGTATCAAGAAATCCACCCATCCCTTTTAGTTGAGTGACCGGGTCATCTACTTTTCCCACTTCAACAGTAATGTATTCCCCTCGTGTTTCCTGCTCAGCCACGGTGAATTCCAGCAGTGTTTCTAGCTTCTGGCAGTAGCTAAGATTTTTTTTGGGGGGGGGGGGGGGTGACGCGAGGACACGAGTCCTTGCAGAAGAATAAATCGTTTGCATGAGTGGTTCTTTGGGGGAAGTAAACCCTCAGAGGGGCCATTTGAATGTTGCAATGATGTTTTGGAGGCAGCATTGCACTACGGTTTGTTTTTCACTGCTGACACTGACCGAGAGGCGGGCCGTCCCACCCCCCAGGACAGGTTACCAGTCACTGACACACAGGGTGGGGACATAGAGAGACACATTTCGCAGCTTACAGCCAGTTAACCCCCCTGCAGGTGTCTGCGCTGTGCGAGGAACACACCGCTGGTATTTGGGGCAACATGGAAACATGCAAACGGCCTCAATATTCTTCTGTTGGTTCTTTTTTTCCTCCTGTTTAATATTATTTTGTAACTCAAAGACAATGTATATGTCACACTGTCTTCTAATTTGATGAAACTGATGAAAGTAAATGACTCCTTGCAATGTGATGCAAAGATTGGACCTAGTACAGTACGTTTTTTGTAAAAGCTAACTATGGACTATGATGTAGAAAAGGCAGGTTTATGCCAACACATAAAATGACATATTATATACTGTGAATCTAGTACTGCACATTGATTTGCAGCAGTGCCCACTGTGGCATAACACATTTATATTAGCACAAAAACAAAGAAAACTGAAAAAGAGCTAGACTTTAACATGATACGAAATTAACAAAACAAGATATTAATGAATGTGGCCCCACATCAGCGAAATGAATGTATTCGGTTGTTCTCAGCGCAAACACGTGTCCACTGTGCGAGGCGTAGTGAGTAAGTTGCAGTTTAGTTACGGGTCATTATGAAGGTATTACTGCAGATGAATATCATCCCGTTGCCAAACACTACAGTGCCGTGTACACGAGTATGTGTCACAATAAACCGAAAGCTTTTTGCCAAGCGGTTTGAAGCAAGTCATCCTGTTTTCCATACGGATCAACTGGTTTCAACGATGATTATGAATGAATTAACAAGCCCACCCCTGTTTCACAGTAAAAGTGTTGTAACAATTTGTGCTGGGATAATGTTAAAGCAGCATTATGTTCATTTCGTATATTATGGTCCTGTTTAGAGTCAAATAAGCCATAAAGCGGAGTAAAAACAACCCAGGTTGCCGCGGACATACAGGTGTGTCTCAGTCTCTCCTCCATCTTCTAAATATGGTGGCTTCTGTTCATTGTTTGTTATAGGAACAACCTGGTGACGGCCTTAAACCAAGCTGCCGACGGCTAAAACGGCAGAAGTCAAGGCTTCAGAGCGGCAGTCCACAAAGTAATGAGTCACAATGACCTTGTCTGCCTTTTATAGTCTGTGGAAACGAAACATTTCAGACCTCAGTATTGAGGCAAATCAATGTGAACTTAATGTCAACTGAATTATGTCTGCTGATCACATGTAAGCGTCCATTTTCCCACAGAGCAGTGAGTAGAAGAAGTGGTAAAGCTTTGTAGAATTGTATTTGACCATTTACCGCCAGCTGGCTAGTTAGATAACTAGCGGATAACCGTGCAGCTGCAAGAGTATAAGTAACAAAATGAAGGGCGGTTTCTGTAGGAATAAAATGATAGTGTGTGTGTGTGTACCTCGGTATGTTACCGTCGACGGTGGCACAGCCGTAGAGGAATACGATGACTCCAACGATGGCTGCAGGGATCAGCATCTGAGTGTAGACTCCTAACCAGGCAAAATATAGTCCAACCTTCTCCCCAAAGTACTTCCTGTCGAAAGAAGCCCGTGATGTTTACATCATTTACAACATTAGTCCATAACTGTCAAACCCGTTATAATACCACACCCTTAAGTTAATGAGTCTTTAGCTTCTATACGGACAAGTTCAGCTAATTCTTTGCATTGATTGGAGAAATAAAAAGCGTCTGGGCTTAAAGTGTGACGTGAGATGGATATACAGGCAGGGCCATAAGTCTTTGGACTGTCACACAATTTTGCCTTTCAACGCAATTAGGAATGACTTGAAGTGCAGCGGTGAACATTTAATGTGTAAACTTTCAGCTTTAATTCAATAGATCAATAGAAAAAATCCACTTGATCACTTGGCGGATACAGATCCCATGTTGTATAGTAGCTATAGCAGCTAATCTACTAGGCTAGTTATTCATTTTGCCACAGTGCCAAAAATAATTCCACCATCTCTGAAGTTGGTTGGTTGTTTATATTGTATCAATATCAGAGATTAAACCATGTAACGGGTGATGGGGGCGTACAGATCCCTGGGGGATGCATCTGAGGGAGACGCCCTCAGATGCATCCCACATTCCTAGTCTTTTCCCTGGATCACACGCAGCACATGACTTGTTTCTGTGGAAGAGCTTCAGCGGATCACTCTGAGACAGTCCTACGAGATCTGCGATTCTCCTGGTGGGAGTGACGGATCTGACCTGATGAGTCCAATAGGCTGGTACTTGTAGAAGACGCTGTAGCTGGCCCACTCCTCGTACAGCAGCTGTGAAGAGAGGCAAGAGTCGGTAGATATACGCAATTAGAGCAGGCTGCACAATCGTCCCATTTATGGGGAAAGCAGCTGTTAAAGCAAACAAATAATCCATCCAGTTTTACTGGTTTGCTTGATGAATTCAGTATAGTCTAACAGGAAGTTCACAAAGATGGTGGTTAAGGCTGCAAATAAGCAGAATATATACGTTTCAGTGATTATCTAATTAACCAATTGATCCATTTTTTCAGTTGCAGTATTGAGCGGCTTTGCTGGGAATGAAATGCAAAAATAAGGCTTTTAATGTGAAAATTGCAGGAAGTATAAGAGTAATCGATTGAGGCTGATAAAAAGAACGACAAAGTGGGGGAGGAATGAAAAAGTGAAAGTGAGAGCAGCGGAGAGGCAAGTGTCACATGACTGTTGTTGCTGTGGAAACATGCTGAATTATTTGGAACTTAATGGACCCGGCCCTTCATTAGCTGCTAGCCTTTCCTCGTTTATGGTGATCAGATATTATTTGCCCGCTGGCTTTTATGGTGATTTATTATTCATCACAGTGATGCACTAGAGATACAGTATATGCAGATATATTTTCAATTACATTTGAATAATGTGTTATTGATGCAGTGTATCCGTGTACTTGCTGTCCCAGGCAGCAGTGACGAGCTCGTGGTGTACAGGGAGATAACAAACCATCCAAAGAAGGTGCTGGATGACGGAAAATCAATGCAAATCAAAGACTAACCTGGGGGCCGTACCATACAGCCGCTTTCATTTTAAAGGGAGGCCTGGTTCCAATCCGGCAGGGATTTTGGTCAGGTCATGAATTCCAAAATCCCATCGATGACAATCTCAACATTGACTGCTTCCCCATTCACACTATAGAACCTTTGACGGCAGATCTTTTTTACTTGATGAGGCCATGACTTTAATAATGGCTCACAAAGTCAGTTATAGGGAGACAGCTTGCAACACACGGTAAGCCAAAGGGGAATGCAGTCATTATGATTATTAGCTGACCTACCAGTCTGTAAGCATTTTGTGTAGCACTCCGTTCCACCTCAAAATAGTGGAGGGAAGGGAGCTAAAAGGTCCGGAAGGAGGGACAGGTTGTGCGTTTCTTTCGACTGGGGTTGGCTGTCTGAGCTCGCACACACTCGGCGTGCGCAGAGCAGAGGGACGATTAGCTTGTGGCTTTAGCCTCCAAATCCGAGCTGCTCGCTTGTGAACTACGTTGGACCAAGGAAAAGAAAACGTGTAGGCAGGCTGAGCTCTCTGCTCTGTTGGGAGATGAGGCGACTTAAACCGAGTAACAGCAAAAGATCTTAAAGTAACGCTGCAGGGCTGATTCATGCGGTCCAAAGGCCACAGGCACTCATTGGCCCGTCTTGCAGATGCTCGAGTTGTATTTGGTTGTTCACAGGATGTTAGAAAAGCAGTGCAGGTAGATTTGTTTTGGTAACGTTTACGGACTGAGATGGCACACGCAGATATTTCAATTGAAAAGATGCCGCTTTTGATATGATGGAGTGTGAGGAGACAAATGAAGTTTTGACCATTTGAAAAAGAAAATTGGCCCTGTGAGGATTATGGACACTTTTCTAAACCATATCCTCTCGTTTACTTGTCAACCTGCAACTGCTTTCGTATTTCCAGCTCTGGTGAAACACGCCCGAAGCGATGCACGATTTTTAATCTCACACGACTAAAGCACATCCTGGTACCTTGCCCCCCCACACACACACACACACATTTGTACTTACAGGCAAACACAGACCCAACTGGTACAACTGGTCTGCCTGAATTTGAAAATATAAAATCTGTAATTTAAAAATAAAAGATAAAATATCCAAAAATTCAATTTCTTGATTCTTTATTAAGTGAAGAATCAATGTATATTTTCTTTAAAACAATTCAAGAGCTGAATCTACTATATCCAATCCAAAAATACTTACAACAATGTATTAAAAAATTAGTGGGTATTTGTTGTAGACCAAAACCACATTTTCAGGTTGAATTTTATTTTTCAAATGCTCCATAGAAGAGCATTAGTCAGGATTCGTTCTAAATAAAGATGGACTTCAGATATATCTGAATGCTTCTATTAATTGATTACAGAAGCATCCATGTGCAGTAGTATAATACTACAATGTCTCGCATAGAACGTACGACATTGAAATGCATCAAGATGTAGAATGGCAACTTTTTTGTCTTGCCTGGCAAATCTTTCCAAATGTAATCCTTATTTATTTGGTTAAATAACTTAGTTATTTGGATGAATAAAACCAACAGTTTGTCCTCCCAAGGTTCATTTTGTGATTTTTAGTTGTGACAGAAAGCAACCTGTGTGCGTGGCTGTAAAATGCAGCAGTTGTGACAGATTGGTCGGCCTCTTGTCATGACTGATCAGCTCAACACCTGCTGATTTGATCAAATAAAGATTCAGGTCTTTCGTGGATGTTTTTCACACAGCGTGGCAACAACACAACTGTGCTTTCGGAAGCCATTCTAGAGCATATGAAATCAGGTCCAATGCTGACCAGCTGGAGGAAGCTCCTATGGCACCCAAAATGCACCAGATGCAGGATCACACATCCACGCGAGTAATTTGGTATATCAGCTCCTGGGAAATTCAATATGTTAAATTATGAAACTATTTTGGTTAATGCAGATTGTTTCATCACTATCCTTCACTCTGTGTGTCTAAACAGCTGCAAACTTGAATTTTATCTATTTTAATAAAACTCAGGAAAGACTGATGTTCACCATCAGTTCATGTTTCATATGAGGCCAAATTCCTGCTCGCGCTGCAAAATGGTGAAGTTCAGTACTAAACTGAGCTTAAATGTATGGTTTAGTTGAAGGTGTTCGTTGACATGAAACCGTGCATTTGAGCTCAACGTCATTAATAACAAAATCGTGTATAATTTATGACGTTCCACTGATTGAGCGCGTTCTTAGAGGTCTTACCAAAACAACACTGATCCCCGAGTATGTGCACGCGTGTTTCCAAGCACAATTTACATGCAAATCACTGGCGTGTGATCCGGTCTGTACACTGACGATCATCATGGGCTCGGGTCCTACTGCTAGTAGGCAAAGAGCACATTAATCACTGTGAAAAGCTTATTTTATTTTCCAACACACTCTAATCACAGGCAGAGCAGCGAGACCTTTAATCACAAGAGGCAAATATTCAGAGGGTAAATTAAAGATAATGTTCTCATTCCATACGGAGAGCAAAATCTGTTTCTTTAGATGTACACATGGGATTATATATATATATATATATATATATATATATATATATATATAATGTTGATGTGGAGGTACTTGCAAGCACAGAGCTAAAGCTTCTGCTGTTGCTTGAGAACAAGACGAGAGGGAATTATTAGGCCGTTGCCTTAGTGACACACGGCCCACAGTGTAATTATGGAGAGCGTTAGCAGGGGAGGAGATGACTTCAGACTCAATGTGAGCTCTTAGCTTCCCTCCCGCCGCCTGGTTACTTTCTCTGTAGTTGCTGAAGGCTCAGAGATGCACGTGGCATTAGCGTGGTAGCTTGTCATGCGTGGTAGGGTAGGATTCATTGAGTGGCATGTTTCTGTCTCTAGAGGAGCACTGGGTCGCATTAAGGGTGAAGGAGCAGACAGAAGGCTCTTGTGGTGGCGGGCGTGGTTGGGCGTAGCTTCGGAGGGGACAGAGAGAGGGATTGGTTCAGGCCAGGAAGAGGCCTCCGTTGCGGGGAAGTAACTAATTGTGTCTCTTCCTCCATATAAACACTGCAGTTAGCGAAGAGGCGTCTTTGGGAAGACAACGCCAGAGAGGAGACAGCCTGGGTTTCTCAGTCATCGTTCTTGTAAACGGCTGAATGATACTATTATAATCACTACTAAATGCTGCTATGATGCTTTTATAATCTCTATTGAAGCATTGCCGCTGCAAGGAATTGTGGGACAGAATTATCTCCTTTCCTTTCGTAAAGGATGGTCCAGTGGTTCCTGTGCTGAAGGAGATAAGTAAGGAAGCACTGATGCTCCTTTGCATTTAGAGGATATGAAGCTCTTATCATAGCGGCTACTTACACTCATTTCACTCATTTGAAGATTTAATTTATTCAAGACGGAGGCAGGTGAGCAATCAGCAGGAGTTCATTTTTTAAGTTAAGAAATAGAATATCTACCTAGCTTGTCTGTAGTTATTAATGAAAAGTCACTTTAATACCTTGACTAACCTCTTTTTGAGGCTGTGACGGTCTTATAGATAAAAGTGAGCTCCAGTAGACAAGTTATGAACCTGAAATATCACTTTCTAAGTCAGTAACGCTACAAAGGTTGGGAATATATACACAAAGAAACTGAACTAGGTTGCTTTGCTTCTCTTTTCTTTGTGGTGTGATAAACTAACTTTACATTTTGTTTGGTTTTACGGAGCAGGAAGAGGCAGCATCGAGCTGAAGGAGAACGATGTGTGTGGTGACGTTCAGCTACAGTAGCTTGCACACGTTCTGTAATATCTTAAGTTAGTTCAAATAGCTTTTATCCTAAATAAGGAAAAATAAAAAGCCTTCACATACAAGTTAATAAATGTGTTTGTCGTGGTCTTTTGTTGAGTATTGATTACTTTTAGCTGAAAGTACATGGCTTAACTTCATATATCATAATCCGGAGGTGAAAGTTAACTTCCTAAAATAAATGAAATAAGATAAGATTTCAGTCTCTGTGTATTTTTGGATTTTTGTGGGTTTTTAAGGCTTTCACTGTCAAACCCGACAGGTTGCTAGGCAACGGGATCAGCGGAAGAAAAGTTAATGCGCCTCCTCCGTAGGCCACACCCATTGCAGAGACCCCTCGGTTCAGCTTACGCGGCTGTTGGAGGACCAGCCCAGGTCTACCGCCAAGGCTGCTGAAGGCTGCGGGCTACAAAGACGCAGCTCAATAAACTGAGACACAGCTACTGTTTGCCCCGACATACTTAAGATAATAATAATAGCACAGTTCTGACCTCATTTGAGAAACCTGCCGAGTCAGCTATCGAAACCCCTGAAGAGGATGAAACATCTCATTGGCTGAAACGCACCAAAACGAGGACACCATACCACTGCTCTGGTTGCTAGCCGAGGTTGCCGTGTCTGCGCGGTACAAGTGGATTTGAGCGGCTGTGCTGAACGTGAAGGCAGTGCGGCGTAGTTTCAGGCCGATGATTATCTGTTCATTGACGAGAAGTGTTGCTGTGTTGACGTCGGACTCAATGTATTGAGGGGTGGAATGGATCAACTTACCTTCCTGTCGTTGGCTTCTGCGTTCACACCCTCGATGTCTCCCTGTAACGATAAATACACTTTTTGGCCCATCATGCACATCATGAATAAGTGCTTTAATTTAACCTTAAAATACAATTTGCTAGAGCAGCAGACGCTTGGGTGATTTTCACATTACAAACAGGCTGAATTATAATTATTCTCTTGGTGGATAAGCAGCAATGTATCGACCGTATCGGCCGAGTCCAGCAGGGGACACAAGGAAGTGGGATGGTGATACTCACATCGTGCAGAGGATAAGCAGATGTGTAGACGCCGTTCGCCAGCAGACTGGTAATCCCTGTGATGAGGCACATTCAACGGGATTATAATCTAGGAGGAGACGCATGCAGCAGGGTAAAACTAATACGCAGTCAGAGCCAGAAAGGACTGTTGTTACATTTCCTCTTTGCAGTTCCAATGGATGACTTCTTGGTGAAGAATTACATACATGGAGGACGTTTTTTTCAAGACGGATGTGGCTCCATCATACACTGTGTGCACAATTATTAGGCAAGAGAGTATTTTGACCATATCATCCAAGCTGTTTAAACTTAAAATTGGATTTAAGCATATCCAGTGATGTTGTGTAATGGGGGAGGGTGTGGCCTAAGGAGATTAACACCCTATATCAAGGTGTGCATCATGATTAGGCAGCTTCTTTTTCTCAAAATGGGCACAAAAAGAAATCTAACGGTCTCTGAAAAGTCAAAAATCATACAAGGTATTTTAGAGGGAAGCAGCACTTTAGAAATTGGGAAGATGTTGGGACGTGATCACAGAACGATCAAACGTGACGCTACCAGGAGCCCATTATCCTCCAGTGCCTCCATATTCCAGAACTGCAACCTACCTGGAGTGCTCAGAAGAACAAGGTGTTCAGTGCTCAGAGACACGGCCAAGCTAAGGGAGGCTGAAACCCGACCACCACTGGACAAGACTTAGGTTGAAATGTCAAGACTGGGCGAAGAACAATCTGAAGACAGATTCTTCAAAGGTTTTATGGCCTGATGAGATGAGGGTGACTCTCGGCGGACCAGATGAACCGGCCTGTGGCTGGACCAGTAACGGCCACAGAGCTCCACGAGGTGGAGGTGGGGTTCTGCTATTATAAAAGATGACCGAGTTGGACCTTTTCGGGTTGAACATTGACTAAAAATCAACTCCCAAACCTACTTGACACTTTCCTTAAGCAGTGGTACAGGAAAAGGTCTGTGCTCCATCACATGCATCGGAATAACGACGTGGCCAGTTGAGGCCTTAAAGGTGAAAAATAATGACATGCCCCCCTCCTCACCTGACCTAAACCCTGTGTAATATAAAATACAACTTGCCTAATAACTGTGCACACAGTGAAGAGTTGTAATGGTTTGGTACAGTTAGAGGAAAGCAGGAAGCAAACCTTGAAGAGTAATTTTGGTATATTGGAACTTTACTTTTTCTTTTTAGCTCTGCCCATCGTTCCTATTTGTGATGATGAGAAGGTGTCTGGTGAAAGTAAGTACGGTCGTCAAAGCAACATTCAAGACTGGTGCCAAACTTGTGAACAAAAGCAATCTTCTGTAATTGTTTAGAAATGTCAAGAGAGACTAGAGTTTGCCACTCACACAACAATTGACCTTCAGGTGGCGCATGTTAGATTGTCCTTGTGAGCCAAGATCGAGAACACTTTGAAGCAAATGTGACTACATGTTAAGTAGACTATGTGGACTTTCTCGACCTTTAAGATATGCCCTTTTTAAGTTTGCCTTATATTTACTCACGCTTTTCTCCATCAAAAAATAACCTGCAATTCTCAGATGTTCTCCAGATGACTTCACCTACACGACACTTAAGAGGCTGTTGACCTCATGCAAGGCTGAAGAATCGGACCAGTTATTAATGTGTAAATGACGGAGGCAGCACAGTTAGCTTTAACAAAATGGCAGCATCAACAGGTTTCTTTCCCTCAGGAGCATGAATCTGCACGTTAAGTCGGGAGGGACAGGGGCAGACTTTATATTCCAGCCATTCTGAGTAAATCCAAATCGGAGTTCACTAGACTTGTTGGTCAGGGAAGACCTCTGCTGAGGTGGTAATTAGGCTTTACTTATGAGCGCAGCACCTATATTAATGCAATATTGATGTATTAGAGTGACAGGCAGAGATCTTACCCATGGAGTATTTGGCTCTAGTGCATTTAGTCCTCTTCAGTACCTCGTAGACCTGTCGATACAAGAAAGCAGTGACTGTTTTACTTGTTTAATAGCGCAGGTGAGGCGAGCTTTGTCGTGTTCGTGCTCAGGGAGGCTGAGCGTTTTATCGATGGGAGCTGACGACGGCACTGATTGAGGATCCAATCCAGTAATGAGAAGCCAATCATATTACCGAGTCAAGCCCTGCGAGGTGCGGTGTGGGTGGAGGCGCGTATGCCAATGCAGCAGCACACACACGCAAATGAGCAGAATTCATTGGTTTTTCATGGGATTCACAAAGAAGCAAGAAGGTCTTAGTCAGAGGAGCGATTCATGGTCCATGCGAGAGGAGGGGGATTTGCAGACATGAATAAAAGATCATACCCAGCCGTCATTGTGCTGAATAAAACAGTTTGTAAAGGAGCTACCTTAAGCCAGCCGATCTGACGCCTATGTCATGAACTGGGCACCTTGGTTTGTGGCCGCTGTAACGGTTGATGAAGTGACATGCTGAGTGTTAAACAGACACTTTACTTAGAAGTTTTGTTGCTAAAACCTAACCAAGGAGTTTTGTTGACTAAACCTAAGCAAGTAGGTTTCTTTCCCCAAGCTGAACAGATTTTAAACTGAAGTTGTTTCCTGTGAACCCTGAAGCTTTATTTTGAAAAGGTCTGTACACTCACGGAAAGAGGACATTGACAGGCTCATAGCTTGGAACGTAGTGCCAGTGTCTGCAGTGACAAACGGTCTTCTAATACAACTAATACTTACAATTGAGTTCCTGGTCTTGCTGTCAAAGAACTTGTCCCGGTCAGAAAGATCAAATCTGGGGAAGAATATACATGTGTTTTACCATGTTCTTCTTTAAGTATGAGAAAGACAAATAGAGGAGAACCAAGATGAACAACACTCACTGTATAGTAGATACATGTGCTGAGAAATGTGAATAAAACTAATACAACCAAGTGGCATGATGTAGATTGATACACAAGTACAATAAGTGCAATGTCAAGTGAAAGAGATAAAACAAAAATAATGAGATACTGGAAAGGTCTTTCAATCATGTTGCAGACAGTTTCTTTGCAACCGAGATTTGCATCACTGCACGTACTGTGTGTACAGCGATTTCTGAGATGTTTAAGTTGACCAAAGAATTTCTCCCTCTCAATCAATTGGAATTGGTTTCCTAAATCCGGCTACAATAGATGCCCCATGAAACGAGCTTCCTGTGACACAACTACCCTGTGAGATCAATTAGCTCCTTCCACGCGCTCACTCCCTCCTCGGGACTGTTTATGGTCACTCGCTTCCTTTTCTACTCTGTTATCGGCTCTGTGCTTGGCCTACTTCTTGTTCTGGAAGCAGCCGCAAAAACTACACATCTTTAGAAATGCATTTCATATTGGCGAGCAGTAACCTCACAAGATAACAGGCTATGGAAATATGTGAGATAAATAATACATATTAATATATACAGTATATATAACTTATCATCAAATATCTTTCTTCATTTGTCTATTTAAAGAAAACCAATTTTGTATCCGTAAAATGCTTTGAATTACCCATAAAAAAACAAAATCCTTTTTAAACTCTATAACCTGATGAATGCAATTTTGATTAACAATAAGTAGGAATATATGTATAATATGACCTCACACTTAACCTCAAATTCCACTCAAAACTATGAAAATAGATATGAAAGACAATCATATTATTTGGTGCAAAGGACCATTGTTGATCAGTGATAGGAACGGAAACCCCTGATTAGATCTATGATGCAAGCTTCTGATCAGTGTTACAATCCAAACTGAGTTTAACAATCAGGCGCACCACTAATGTTACTTCAACCTTAAAAAGATGCTTAATTGCATGTAATAGCATGTGAAACGCTCAAAATAAGAGCGAACATCTGTTTATCTACAGACATTTGACTGTTTTATGGGAATAAAATGTGTCAGATTAAACCTTAAGCATTAAAGGGTAACATGTTCCCCTATTAACTTGCATCATAATATTAGTTTTCTTAGCATAGCTTCCTAGTTATCTGCCGTGGTTATAAATGGAGGTAATTACGAGGAGTGTGTGCGCACTGAGTGGGCCGCTGCTGTCAGTCACTTTCTACTTGTGTGGCTGGTGCTGCTCGTTGGCGCTGAAAAAGCAGAGACCTTTTTCCGTGTTGCCCCTGCTTCCAATGTGAGACTGGTCTAAATATGGAAGCAGCATGTGGAGAACAGACAGATTTGAAATTGATGGGAGTTAAACATTTGAAAGCCACTCTACACTATATAATCTGTGACTAGGCTTAATCTCATGCCGGCATTGTTATCAGATCCGACAAAGACGAAGTGATGGAGAAGATGTGGAGGGCGATCTCCTACTGGCTGTTAGTCAGAGATGTAAATATAGCTGCCCACTGCCCACTCGCTCCTCCATATGTCCCAGCAGGCTGACATTTATCAGAAGGCATTCTTCTTCTCTGATCACTGCCTTTGGAAGTGTGTCGGGACTCAATGGGAAGCGTCAGTAGAGTCAGAAATTTATGTTGAGGAATGTAGAGGACTTGTGATTTCCTCGAGGAACCAAGAGAATGTCTCACTTCAGCCTTCGTGTCATGTTGTTAAAGGACTTTTTGGGGGGTTAAATTTACACCCAAAATGTGACAAAAATGAATGAGCTCTAAAAGCTGGAGAGAATTTCACCATGATCTTGGTATCTCACCAATCCTGAAATATCAGACTGAACTGTGAGATAATCATGACAGTTTGGTGGGATTTTCTTTCTCAGATGTTCAGAATTGGAGTCGCCTATTCTGCCTCTTTCCGGAAATTCTTATCACACAGTGCACCATAATACACTGTACCCCATTTATCATAACGTTTACACCAATGGGCTCACACTATTCCTCTACCAACCTGCATAAAATTGGAGACTCTAGACATCCGTGTACTGTGTGTTTAACCACATCCAGGTTCCTTTCTTTGATATCAACATATTATGGCTGAACTTATGTGATTAGCCACAAGGGAGGGTGGGACAAGCTGTAAACACAGATGTTGATCCACTGAGCAAGCAAACACTTACTTGTCCAACATACACAAGGCAACTTCAGCATTTATGTTAAAATGTTTTTTGGGGCATAAGAGGAAATTCTTCCACTCTTCTCCTTTTAGCTCAGTTTTGCTCTCCAGCAGCTCTCTTTAGCTGCTAAAGGATCCGCTGTGTAAACACGGCAAACACAACGTCCTCAATCAGTGGCCCTGTGCATCTGAAGGCCCCCTTTAAATAAGCCTTAGAGATCCGGTAAGGAGCTCGGACATCTGGGCGGAACTTGGAGTTGAGACGCTACTCCTTTGTGTCAAAAGGAGGAAGCGGACGGGCAAAAAGGAGCAAGTGGAGGTGGTTAGGGCATCTACTGTAACTAGGATGCATTCCACTGGACGTTTACAACTGGTAAGAGAGCCCGGGGAAGACCCGGGACACGCTGGAGGGATTATGTCTCCCAGCTGCCCTGGAACCCCTCGGAAAATGTGGCAGGCGAGAGGAAAGTCTGGGTCAGCCTGCTGCCACTGCAAACGACTCCAGAGACACACAGCAAAATGGATGGATGGATGGACGGGTCAACATTACTAGACGGTCAAAGCAACTGATTCTAAGAGCAGCAAAGTCTGCATTGGGCATCGGGAAGGGCGCCTGGATGGCTAAAACACACTTATTTTCAAGTTAAGCAAACCAAATAGTCAAACCTAAAAACTGAGTAAAACTACATTGGAAGTTTATTTTGAAAAGACGCTACATGTAACTAGCGGAAACTGACACGCTGTCCCTGACACTTAAAGATGAGGCCAGAGAGTTCAACTAGGCTGGCACAGTTTAACTTCTCCTCATAAAGCGGTTCGTACAATAAGTCACATGCACAGGAAACTACTTAGTTGGATTTAGACTACCCAATTACTTAGCTAGGCTCAGGCAAAGTTCTTAATGGTCAACACTGCACCAAGCTACGTGACAAATAGACTAACATTGACTTCTCCTTTTCTCTACATTCTAAACCATGTCGGATTGTATCACAGTATGTAGAGATCATAGGACACCTGCTCAAAGTTGATAAAAAACGTTTTTTCTAGGTATCTACAGTCTGCAGCAAAGCAAAAGGTGTTCTGCCATTCTGCATGTCTGGGAAACGTTACAGTCAGTTGGCGCTTTCACTCACAGATGCTGTTTCTCCCTGGAGAAAGGGTGAGACAGCGGTTTGACGCTTTGTGGCCGGTTGGCGTCCACTTTTGGGTGGAGAGGAGCAGTGACTTTGTGAATGAACAGTCGGATCTTCTCCACCACGTTACTGCCTTGCTTCACCTCGTAAACCTGCAGAGGAGGCAGAAGACACTTTATTGACCTGCGTGTTTGTAGAGTGTAATCGTACAGTTTATTTTCAATAGTTAAAATACCCGGGTGTTTAGATGTGATAAGACAGCAGAGGTAATTAGTCAGTTTTTCTATTAGGGGCTATTTCTATGAGGCTCTACTTACTCTCTTTGACAGCACTGGAGGGTTTTTATTTCTTTTATTATTGGTTTTTATGTTCTTTAAATGAGCACAGTTATTGTCTGGCAACCATTCGGAACGAGCTTATGTTTCATAAGGCTCATTTGAAATGCTCCAAAAGGACACTTTGGGTTTGCATTGGCCAAGTTAACAGAGGAGATATTGTTTATTCATATTAGTGAAAACAAAAAGGAGCAAAACTCGAGCCTTGTTGGACCCTTTGCCTAACACAAGACCTGAAACCAATATCTCTTGTTCAAATGTACTTAAAAATAGAAGATAAGATTTAAGGTTTCGTTCATCTAGCCCAGAAAACGGACAGTGTGCTCTGACAAGGTGCAAATTTGCTCGGTTTTGGATTTTGTTGGTATTTATCTAGAGAAATGCACACGGATCCTTTGATAATCCAACATGGCTGGTAATTATTGACAGAATCAGCTGGTGCTTAGTGTTTTGTGCCGGTATCCAATACCTCTAATTCTAGTTAACTATCTGGTACCCTGTAGTGAGGTTTTCAAATGTTATGGGATTCCTTCCATAATCTCGTCCCGAGGCTTGTGTGAACCGGTACCACAAACCTGCCCTTTGTTGTGATGCTACGCGAATACAAATCACAAATTAACGTGAAACATTGATTCTCACACTCAGTAGTGCAGCTGCTGAGAGCCAATTCGATCAGGACATGAAAGTTCCTCGGGAAACGGAGCGTTGACTGATGGGAGCAGTACCTTCTTGGTCGGCATCTTGAGCTTCATGAACTCGGCCTCCCGACACAGAACGTTCCAGGGAGCATGGACCTTCAGGAAGCCAATTCCCGGGATCTTACTCTGGAATGCAACAAAGTTTTGGACATGGAAGCGAATTCAGATTTTCCAAACATGTATAAACCACAATTGCTAATGGATTTGAACACAACATTGCAACCCGGAGAGCACTAAGTGGCTCTTCTGGTGGATTCAGATCTATACTGTCTGGAAGAGTCCAGTTTCCGGTCACCAAACTGCATCTACTCCAGCAAAAATACATCTTTATTGCTGCATATGGGATCTTTTTCTCTCTGCAGCTACTGTTATGTAAAACCACTCATCTACTGCCAGACTCACTTCACACCCTCCAGCTCGGCACACTGACCTGTCTGGATACAGAACCAGTTCGAACTGGCTGACTAGCTGCACACATCACGGAGCTTCATCATGTTTTATTTCCGTCTGCGGACAGTAAGCATGGACGGATGAAGTGAAACTTTTGTTTAACAAGGTTGCTGCAGGAAAGATTAATATGCTATAAATTGGAATACGACAAATGAGGTTTAACTGTGCCTTTAAATGAGGGTTAAATTCATCATAAAATACACACTGCTTCTAAGAAGTGTTTCATTGAAGGAAATAAAGGCTTTTCTAAATAATATTGCGTGTGTGTGGAAACGTAATCACAAAATGGGGCTCCAGTTAACTAACTGCATTTTAATGGTTTCAAATAATAAATGTAACCCCAGCTCACTGTTGTAGAAATTGCATTAACACTAAGCACAGTAACTTCAATTAGATGAAAATTCTGGAACTGTAATTTTGTGTCAGTGGTATGAAGAAGAAAATGAGTGGGATTACATACTAAACTGTCCTACATTTAAATATAATATGGATTTGCAAAAAGACTAACGTTATTACTTTGGTCTGAGTTAATATAGAGCGCTGTCCTAAAGTGAGTCCTAAAACCAGGAAATGAGGGACTGTTTCTGTTGTGGAAATGGATTTATCGAATAATATTTTGGAAAGATTCCTAAAATAAGGTGTACGGTAAGTTTGAAAGATGTCAACGTGATCCCGTCCCAAAGTACACCCGGTGTAGCTTGTCTATGGCCCGGGATTTATTTAGCTCTGGTTGCTGCAAAAAAATCCTACAAAGCTGCCAGTGGAAAGTTGAATAAACCCATAATCCATATAAACATCATGTATCATCCAACTAAAAGTCTGTTGCTCGCACACTCAGGCGTCCATATTGACGTGCCTCCAAAGTTTCAAGTCATTTAGTGAAAAAGCATTGCTGAAAGCCTTTTTCAGAACGTATTCAAAAACCGCATTATGTCGCAGAGCTGCTCATGCACTTTTTTAATGGATGATTCACTGCATGAAGAGTCAATTTAGCTCCATTTGTCTTTTCTAGGGCTGACTACAAAATGACAGAACGCTCTGCTTCTCCACTAAGGAAAAACAGAAGTATTTCATGGTCAAGGTTCCAGTCGTGCAGCACAGCGGTGAAACACATCCCAGGGATAATTTCTACGAAATATCAGCGAGATAAGATCTGAAAATCAGGCGTCGACTCAATGTTAGTTCAGATGACAAGTGTGTCAACACATTCAACTTCGATCAATCAGCCTTAAGAAATAAACATTGTATGTGTATTTCAGTATACAAATGTATACATTATTAAAGGAATTCGTTCAGATAAACTAGAAACTAGTTTTCCATTGGCAGCTTACACAATTGAATTTCTAGCTTTTCTGAATTTTTTATTACAAATAACTGCATCGGTTACAATAAACATAAGTGAGGAAAATATAAATTAATATAACACCGCAGCGCTGGAGTGAATCATAAATATCATAGACTTTTACATTAATGAAGGTTAGATATAGTAAATTAAAGAGCTGCACACTGTGTTCGATTTCCCTGTGATATTTTGTCATGCATACAAACGCACACACAAAGAGGGTCATGTGATGCACCTTCTGTTGCTGACTGTGCACGCCGTCACACACCGAGTCCTGTCTTCAAGCTGAGCCCACATATACGACATAACAAACTATTTCCACCTCCTCACAAACCGCTAAATCCCAATTTACTAAAGCGGACTGTGGATCCAGAACGCGTCACAGGGATCCCAAATGGACCTGAAGCACAAGCTCATGACAGCAGCTATTGGACAACAAGACGCACGTCTTCTGTAGGGGCCAGACCATCAGGAAAACACACTACGCAATGAGGAATTCAAAGGTTATGGAACTAGAACTCTAAGATATCGAGACAGAGGAATAAAAACAGAATTCATGTTTCCGGGGTATCGAGTCCGGTCACCTTCAGGTGGTCCACTATCAGTGATACGATCCGATACCTGCGTTCACCAAACCATGTCAACTATCATGAACGCCTCAGAAAAACATTCAAAACATAAAGAATAATTCACTCTTTGCCACGTCAGGGACCCCCGCTTGGTCTGATGACGTCGGCAAACCCCCGGAATTTCCAAACAAGTTGTCCCCTTTAAAGCAAGGAGCCATTGTTTTCTAAAAGGACCACCAATTTCAAGTTGTGAATGTGCCACCATCATGCTTGTAAGCTGCATGGGCACTGTGAGGGAATGCATTGTTGGTTGAAGCAGGGACCAAAGCTACAAAATACCACTTCGCTTTCAGCTCTCACCCCTTCGTCTTTTTCCAGCTGCAGCCCCGTCTCCAGGAGGTTTTCCTCAAACTCGTCCCGCCTGAAGCGCTTGTCGTTCTCGTTGTAGTCCGTCCGTTGCTCCTGGGCGGCGATCTCGGGGTCTTCCTTTGGCTGCAGCGGCGCGCGGCTGCTTCTCATGCTCATGCTGCGCCGGAGCCGGTGGATGAAGCCGTTGTCGCCGAACCTGGAGGGCTGGCGCCGGATGCTGCTGGGCTTCTGGATGTGGTACGCCAGCACGTAGTCCACCCGCCGCCGGCCATCAGTGAAGTAGGGGCCTAGCCGGGAATACAGAGGGGAGCCCTCATCCGCGTATAGATTTTTCATGGGCTAAAAGCAAGACAGACAGAATGTAATAGATTACTTTATGGGTATAGTAACATCTATTCTTAAAGAAATACTACGAGGCCAAAACTCTCCAGTACTGGATGATCATCAATATGTGAGCAGTAACCTTCAAGGGGATTCGCTTGGCATAGATTCCATAACACAGATGAAAACAGAGCTGAACAGAGTAGTAGTAATATAGTCAACTACTTGTAAAACGAGGTGGCAATATAAAAGCTTTACAAAAATGTTTTCCAGTTCTAATCTTCTGTCCCCAGGCTCAAGTCATGGTTGAAAACAGAGGAGACATCTGTTTGGCAGCAGAAAATTTCCCATTCAAAATAAAATTAATTTGTCAATAGAGCGACCGTCGGGGATCCCGAAATCCCCAAAGTCCCCATCCTGCATGGTATGCGGGAAAGTTCAATGCCGAGATACTTTAGAGGCCACCGGGCGGTCTATCCACAGAGAACCAAGAATGTTGACACGAAGTGGCCTCTAGTTGTAGAAACATTTGGAAGAAAAATCCAAAACTAAAACAAAGACAGAAACCGAAGGGCGATGTTGGAGCACTGTGTGGGGAGGGAGGACTCCCTTCTCTGCAGTACCTACAGTACTCACACCACTACAGTCACTCGGTCAATGAAACAGCAGCAGCAGCAAATTGAGAGACAACCTTTCTACAGCCTCTGAAGGTGCCAGATCCAAAAACGGTGGCAAAAAAAGCTCAAGCTGCTCTGGACAGAACAACCAGGAGCCACGTGGCTCCTGTCAGGTCCAAGTCGGCCAACAGGCCTGCGGTTACAGCAGCTCCTGTGGTGGTGAAAGACAAATGGATAACCACGAGAACCACGAGAAGCAGAATGTGTCAAAAAGGGCGGGGGGGCACGTAAAAGTCAAATTATTTATAGCTCTTTTTTCTCATCTTTATTTTTCCCATTTATTTATCTTCAGTTTCATTTTCTTTGTTTATGGATTGCATGGATTTTATGGTTTGATTGCATGTTTTTTTTGAGGCGACTGTGGATGAGTGGGGAGCACAATCGTCCTCCAATAAGAGGGTTGTCGGTTCGATCCCAGGCTCTGCTAACCCGCATGTCGATGTGTCCTTGGGCAAGACACTTAACCCAACATTGCTCCTGTAGCTGCGACTACAGTGTGTGAAGGTTAGTTACTGATGGGCAGGTGTCACTGTGTGTGGTTCTCCTGTCATCAGGGTGTGAATGGTGTCATGTAGTGTTAAAGCCCTTTGAGTGGTCAGAAGACTAGAAAAGCGCTATACAAGTACAGTAAATTTACCTCACAGGCAGCCCACAGTGCTGATGTGCTGGTTTGTGGTATTGGAGCCCCACAGGGAACTGTCCTGTCTCACTTCCTGTTCACCTCGTACGCCACTGACTTTCAGTACAGCGTTGGAGCCGGTGACACCAACAGCTTTAACAGACTGGTGAAGGAGGCCAGCTCCATCACTGGCTGCCAACAAGAGCATCCTGAACAGGTGGTGGAGAGGAGGACACTGAAAAAACTGTTGTCCATATTGGACAACCCGGGCCACTCTCTTCACCACCTACTGCAGCGGAGCACCTTCTTCAACAGATTGATTCAGCTCCGCTGTCACAAGGACAGATACAAGAAAACATTCCTGCCAACAGCAATAAGACTTTACAACAAAAAACCTCTGGCTAAATCATTGTTTATTTGAACACCACTTAATTTCATTTTATAATTGAATACATATTTCACCCCACTGTACATTCTCCTTTCACTTAATTTAATATGTTGTGCTCTGCTATTTTATTCTACTGTGTATATATTGTACATTTTTCAATTTTCATTTCATTTACTGTACTGCTGCTATTGTCCACAAGTTTCCCCTTGGGCATTAATAAAGTGTGGCATGGGGTGGAAAAGGCCAGTGGAGATAACGCAGTGCCCCAAAAGAACATGTGAGCTGACATGCCCTTGTGTTTTGTAACACAACCAGGAGAGAAGCTTTCCGTGACGTTCTCTGCCCTTCAAAAAGAAAGACCCTCCTCTTCTGAAATGATACATCGCAGCATCCACACTAATCTCTTTGTAGTTTAAAACAAACAAGCTGCGTCTCAATGCCTCCAGAAGGCTTCGCGGTAGACATGTAGCAGGATGGATTTAACGTTATCACAAAGAGGAGTTTATTCATTTAAAAACGCGACCAACGTCAGTTACCAACGTCTTGTAACTTCAGTGATTTCATAAACTGCATGCTGGGATATGCTGGGCCGCAAAAGGACAGATCAGACGTGCCCTCCAAACTGGCTCCTGGAGAGCTGCGTCCCTCGACCGCGTTCGAAGGGGCCGACGGGACGGGCGAGTCGCAGCGGAAGTGACCCATGCGGTCGACGAAGGCGTCCTTAAGGACGCAGCTTAGCGACTTTGAGACACGACTACAGCCTCCTCTCCGCGTGGTCTGCACACACCTAAGCAAAGCCCCTATCCTCACTGGATGCTAACTGGCCCGTGCTTTGGCTTATCCGGACCTTAGACTGCATATAAGAAGTGGATACAGTCATTGTGACGTTAACCGATGGATTGCCTTTGGTTAGGCTGTTTTGAATAACGGAACTGGAAGGTTTCAGCCTCAACGCGGAGAACGATCTGGCAGCAAGTGCGTGAGTGACTGGGGTTTAAATAGTGAAGGGAGTGCGTAGGGTAGACAGGTGAGTGTGATTGGGCTGACCAGGTGGACGTGACCAGCAGGTGATCAGAATGAACTGATTAGCTGTGACACTGACTTCTTTCTACAGTCACCCCTTGCTCGTCGGTTGAGAGAAGGCAAGTTTGAAGACGCTTTAGCATTGGCTTCACACAGCAGAAAATTGAGGACTTCTTCCAAACGCATTACTTGAGGCTTTATTAGATTTTTGTAGTTAGATATACTGGCCTTGTGACCATTAGTGAGATGTAAGACACAGTTAAGAGGTCTTACTTTTTGAAAGCAGCCTCTACAATAGAAAAATATCTGTTTAAATGACAGCAATATGAGATCTACGAAACAGGGAATCTGGGCACTACAGTATTACTGCACAATTAGAACAGGACAATAATGGGCCTCGATAAAAGCATATTCACACGATAAGGAGATGTTCTGTGCTTGGAGGATTTAAAAGGGAACGGCTATGAATATTAGATATAATAAAGAATGAGCTGCCAAACTTGACTCGTTAATGGCGGTGGAAGAAAAAAAGATTACCGTCCTGATCAGTAAATGTGGTCGTTATGTAGCCTGACGATAGAAATGTGACGTCCTTGGAGCACAACCTAGGATGTAGAGTTTTCCAGTTTTATTTTACAATGCGTTTTACGGTGTGTTTTTTTAAATAAATAACAAAACCATCCGTCTGACCTTGTCCAACCATATTCTTCTTGTTAAAGCGGAGTCCTGCCACTGGGTGAACTAAACTCCAGGCTATTTGTGCTTGTAACCCTGTCTGTGTGTGTGTGTGTGTGTGTGTGTATATATACGCACCAGCTGAGGTTATCTGTCAAAAAAAACAAAGCTCACATTGGTCAAACACACAGAGATCCTCCACAGCTTCCACTGTTAACACACACACAGTATAAATATTGGTCTGTTCATCACACTGTATAAACTCTCAAGCGATAAATCTGTTTTGATAGGTTAGATGACAATTTCTTATGCTTTAGGGGAAATTAAGTTACTATAAAATCAGAACACCACAGGAAAAAAAAATACCAACCGTGGCCTTATATAATCATATAATTCTAAAAATTTGCAAAAAACAGTTTTCACTTTGTCATTATGGGTTGTTGTGTGTAGAATGTTGAGGAAAATAATGAATTTAATCCATTTTGGAATAAGGCTGTAACATAACAAAATGTGGAAATAATGGAGCGCTGTGAATACTTTCCGGATGCACTGTATGTTTTAGAGTGTGTTTGTTTTCAGCAGTTGTATATGTCTGAGTTTGAATGGTGCAGAGCTAAATGGCAGTGAACCAGATTACAGCTGTGTGAATTGTATTTGGTCATAAACTAAAGTATGGGACAATAGCTTTCAGAGAATCATCAGGTGTCAATAGTTAATCTTGGTGGGAACACTATGGTCTGATCCAGGTTCCATGGACGTCTATTCCATAGGCACATTTTGCAGTCGCCATCTTGGATTACTGCCATGCCATATTGTTTTTTTGTTGTTTTTTAAATTAATGAACGAATGATCATATTTGGAGTGAGGTAGAGACGCAGTATACGGCTCCGGTAGCGGCAGCGACCTGTCAATCACAGCAAGCCCGAGAGAAAAAGCATACTGTGCTCTATGGGCCGCTGGATTCTAAATGGACCACAATTTAGCAAATGAACATCATGCTGTGATGAGAGACCATAGATTGAGACCCCAAGAATAAAGTGAGAAAAATGAGTACTTTCTCTTAAACTTCCATACAGTCTGACTTCTTATTTCAGTCAGAGGAGTCGCCCCCTATTGGTTTGGAGTGAGAATGCAGTTTAAGACCCTCCTGTATTGGCTTCACTTGTCAGCCCCGGAGGTTGCTGTCTCCCAGGTAACAGAAAACAGTATGTGAATGGTTTAATAGATCATTTTAAGCTGCGCTACGTTTCCCCCTCAGCCGTCGTGTTGTCTGGTCTGACTGTCTATAAGTCTGTATAAAAATGGCCTTTGTTTTCACATGATTAACACAGTAAATTGCAGACATGAGTTTGGAGTCTTGCATGAAATAGCAGACAAAGTTAGCGACTAGAACACAGTTAAAGAGCTGATATTTTTTGGAGGAGACTTTGCAGTATGAAATGTAGAGATATGGGAGTCTGACTACGTCACGTACTCTGCGGGAGCCCTAAAAGAAGCCGGCATCCAACACGGATGTTTACATGGTGATAGAGGGACAATTACGCGACGATATATGTTGAAGATAAGCCCGCCGCCAATAAAAGAGCCATAAACTCTGAACTGGGGAAAACTAATATTGACACAGCAGGCGCTGCGC